AGTTCCGTGAAGACACCAGGGAATGTTATCTCACCACCCTCAGACTGCAAGGTAACAAGCACAGCGGTTCCTCTGGACGGCACTTTGCCTGCGCCGCTGGCCCGCCCGCATTTTTCATTGGTTTCAAGAAGCTTGAGTCAGCGCATGTGTTTTTTCGCTTGCTTAAAGCGGCAGCAAAGTGATGTCTTCTGGTTGCTGCCTGTTTGTCTTTTTGGGACCTGCCGCTACGTTGGTGGCTTTTCGATTTGCCAACGAGGTTTATGGTTCTTTCCGAGTTTGCGAGACTGAAGGCTCTGGCCACGTCGAGGTCGAGTACTGAGAGTGGGGTGAGGCTGAAGCTTGCAGCTTGCACTAATTCGTTCAACGTGTTTGCCACAACGAACTCTTGGAGACTTTCCATGACATCCCTGTCTAGTACAGGTGGATGCAAGTTGAATTCGTTTGTCACGTGTTTTTGACAACGAACTCTTTGGTACCAGTTGGACCCAGGACAACCTGCCTTATGGTGGGAGCTTGCGTGAGTTTAAGTTTAATGTCAGAGATCGGCTTGTGTGTGTCGTTTGTTTCGTTTTGGTGGCGAGTACGCGCCAAGGGAATGTGGCCAGGGCATCCCCTTAGTGTTGAAGTGCCGAGCAGTGCTTGGACTTCGGATCTTTGACATGAACCCTCAGAAAATGCGGGGGGTGGAAGATCGAGGCTGATCGTTGATGGTTTTGTCATCATATTTTGGATCAGCTTGTATAGACTTGTTTTGCTTCGGAGTGATTGGGAATCGTTGTGATCCCAGCCTCGATGTTTTTGCCTCGATGATTTCCCTAGGAAATCATACGAGTATGTTTTGTGCCCAATACGCTACTTTGAGTGAGTGTGCAGTGAGTAGGAACTGTGTTCTGAAGCTCGTTTAAGCTCACAACTGAATTCGTTTAGTTCGCGCGCTTCGTGACTTTTGGCTCAAGGCCTGCGAGTGAAAAAGAGTGTGTCCGCACTTGGTTTAGATAGGTTGGGTTCGTGCTTTCAAGGGAAAAGGTACCAGAGGGACCTTCGGCTTTTTACGAGTACAGCCGAGAGCTTTTGCAAGTGTTTGGAGGCGTTTCACGTTTTGGTACGTTGGCTGAAGACCGGAGTGTGCGAGCATGCAAAAGTGAGAAGCGTGCAGGGCGATTTAAGTCTTGTAGGGCTGAGGGTTGCTTGCTGCTGTTTCGGTCTTTTACGGTGTCTCGATTGCGTGCTCAGCTCGGTAAATCGCGTTTGGCGACTTCGCGTTACAATTCCACAAGCAGACTCTCCATCAAGCGTCATGATTGGAACACACCGACACGCCAAAATTGATTTCCATATGCACTCCCCTCTTCAGGTTGTAATGATCCACTTGGGCTTTCAGGGAGTTCAGGGTGCACAGTGTTTTCTGGAATGCCCCATTCCCCAGCTACAGGTCCGTCAACTGCCCTTGTAGACTGCCCATTGTACCATCACACTCCTGTGGAAAAACTGATCACCTGCATCGAACAAACAGATTGGCGAGCCTCGGGTCTTCAAAACCGTCAACTCCCATGTTCCGAAGCGTCAAGTCACACAAACGGTTTCTCTCTCTCTCTCCCACTAGGACACTCAGCTGCAGACACTTGCAAAGCACTCTGTTGCAAATGAAATACACAGAGCTCACAAACTGCCGCTGCACTCTATCTACAGTCTGTACGTACATGCGCACACACTCTAGGGGTTACTTCTGATCTACACTGGTGCACTAGCCGATTCACCAACGGCTGCTCGGGCTTTGCCACGACAGGCCTCGCTGAAGGACGGCCCGTCGGTGCTCTGGCTTTGGTCCCACAAAAGTTGAAAGTGGATCGGTGGAGCCACAACATCATTGGCCACGGCGCCGCAATTGCATCGGAGGATGCGGGAAGCGAGGCGGCAGAGTCCTGTAGACTGTAGAGGAGGTCCGCGACGTCCGCGAGGCGGTTGCCGGTGGAGGACGACCAGCTCCAGGAGGTTGCGCGAAACCTTTCCAATCGCAAGCTCTGCGGTGGAGGCACGGATGGCCGCCGCCAGGGCGATCCAAAAACAAGGCAGCCGGGAAACAAGGGCAGCTTCTCGGTGCGGCTGGGCAGGAGGGCGTCCAGCTTGGCTTTCGAGGGTGCGCAAACCTTGACGGGGCGCGGCAACGCGGCGCATGGAAAAGGGCAGGGCAAGGGGCAAAGGCAAAGAGGCAGGGGGGTCGGAGGCATCGCGGCGGGGGCAAAGGCGGGCCGAGGTGGCCGAGAGCGTGGGACGCGACTGAGGCAGGGCCGGGGGGGGGCGGGGGGGACTTTTTGTTTTGTAGGTTTGTTTGCGGCGCGTGTTTGAGAGTTTTGTAGAAATTTCAGGGAATGGGATCCAGGGCTGGAGGGGGGTGGGTTTGGAGGGTTCCTTCTTTCTTTTTTGGGTCCTCGCCTTTGGGGGAAGGCCATGAGCCAACCCTGCAGTTGGAGCATTCCTATCGGGAAGCCCCGGTTGATTGGGCATCACCTACGTTGGTGACGCCCGTGTTCTTCTTCTAGTTTTCCTTGGAAAGGGAGCCCTGATTTCCCTTTCACCTGCCTTTTAGCCCTTCCGGGGATCTCCGCGCGTTCCTGTACGGAGGGCTCCTTTCAAACTTGTTACGCCTGGAGGCCGCCGCGCCCAATGCTTGGTTGGCTCGGGGAGTAGGGGCTACATCACCCGCCAGTTGTCTACATAGACACGCCTTCCTGTGCCTTTCTTCGGGCGGCGTTGCCCTGAGAAGTGCGCTAGAAAAGAAAGTGTCCGGGTGTACACGGATTGAAAGGCCCTTTTGTTGAGCAGTGCAGTCATTTGCCAATTTGGGGATTCAGCATTTGCTCAGGCCTTGGAAACGTAAGCACAGTGCGGAAGTGCTTGCAAGTACTGCCAACCAGATTCTTCCACATAGCTCCGTGACTCCGGCCTGTGCGCGATTGCGGGAACCGAACAAGCACGAAGCGGTACTATATACACCCCGTGTTCCAGAGGTGGAACAGGACAATGACAGGACACCTGAACCCATACTCCCCCATACTCCATCGGAGTCTGGGTTGAGTTCGACTGCGCGCGGTTGCGCTCTCAGAGCCAAGCCTTGCCCGCCACAGGTGCAGTTGCGCGCCTGGGGCGCAGGCGCAGGCACCGCTAGCGGCGTCGATGACGATGTCGAACGAACCAATGTGATCGGCTCCTGAAGCCCTGGATGTTGGCCGCAGAGAAACTTCCGCCAAGTATCCCCGGAGTGCTAATCAAGGTAATGTGCTTCGTTTATGCTACCATGTGTTACCATGCCCACACCCCAAGCAAATCGTACATCCAACCATGCGGACCACGCCCCCACTCCAGAAAGTCCAGGACGAGAAGACGCACACGTTTCCATGCCCCACGCACGCAGCAAGTCAAAGGCAACAAACAGTGCACCGTGCCCTGCCTCCCACCCACCCAGTTCAAAGTCAACAAGTCGTGCAAAAAATGCACACGTGTTCGCATATGACGGTCGTGAGGAATCTCTTCTTTGGCTGATATGCAAGTCAAAGACCAAAAACACTGATGCAGCTCCTTCCTCGAAAGGTTCAGGATGAAGAGCTACTTAGCATCTCCACAAGCAGGGAGACACAGTCTCCAGGGATGCGGCATATTTGGGCATTGGTCGAAATCATCTGTTAGCTTCGCCAAGGCTCATCCCGAGACTGAGGACTCAAACCGCAGTACGGGTCGGTGCAGCGCGCCAGGTTGATACCCCACAGACGCATCTTGAGCACAAGCTGCAGTACACGTGCCTGTTTTCCAAGCCCATCCACCTTCGCAAATCCGAAACTGCAACCAAGCTCTGATCAGCTGTGGGTGCTCGCTACCCGTCTTCCATTTGACTGGGTGAGGGAATTGTGAAGCCGTGCATGGGCACGCAGTCGCTCTGGTGAAAGCTTGGCGTCCGTTTGGTTCAAGTTTGAGCAGCATGTTTCCTTGATGTGACCACTGGCGCGAGGCTGAGCAGGCAGCTATAGCCACCTTGGAGAGCTGTATGGCCGGAAAACTCCACTTCTGAGTTCTGAGTTCTCTGCTATCTGCTTGTCCTTTTGCATGGAGAAGTTTCGCGTCAACGCACGGGTTTGCATGATTCCATACTGCAAGGACTCTGACCTCAACGAGTGCTACAAGACGTGATTAGGGAGCGCTTGACTTCTCTGGAACCCCTAAGCTCCAGGCATGAACTCCCATCAGTGGCCAGGGTTTTGGGTTCGGTGTAGGGTTTAGGGCTTGGGGTTTGGGGTGGGGGTGCCGGGCCCTACACCGTACACCTGTGGATCCTCGAGGCGTGCGGTGGCTTCCACCCTAAACCCGAAACATCCCGAAACACTAAACCCGAACCCGAAACCCGAAGCCCTATACCCTCAACCCTAAACCCAAAACCCAAAACCTTAAACCTTAAACCTTAAACCTTATATAAACCTTAAGCCTTAAACCTTAAACCCTAAACCCCAAGCCCTAAACCCTCAACACTAAACCCTAAACCCTGAACCCATTCCAGCTTGTCAGAGGGTTCCTGCATCCGAGGCGCCTTGGAGCTCCCTTCCCAGGGGCCTTCAGCTGGAGCATGGGAAGTCGGTGCAGGCAGAGGGCTCATTGCGGGGGGGACTCCCGGTTGCTCTGTTTCTACAGTAGAGGACGGTGATGAGGATGATGATGATGATGATGATGATGATGATGATGACGATGACGATGACGATGACGATGATGATTCTTGTCTGCTCTTGCGAATTCTGCAGCTCCGCATGTGTGCTTTAGTTTTACAGTGGCGGGAGTCGAAATTACAAGTGCGGCAGCTACAGTTGCAGTGTGTAGATCCCTCCAAGTTACCAGTTGGGAATGCGAGAAGGCTTGCACAGAGTTTGCAATGTCTTGTTAGATCACTACGCACCCAAGCGCTCTTTGCAGATGCCATGAGAAGCAAAACCGCAAGGGGCCACCAAGGACTTTCAGACATGCCTGCTGCTGCCCTGGGTCGGGTGATCTCCTTGGTCGGTCTCCTGGCACTAGCAGCCGCAGAACCTGCTTGCAGCAGCTTTCAATGTCCACCAGGTTTCGATCGCAGGCAAGACGCAGATGTTGCTGAAGGGCGACCTTCTCGAGCAGAGTGTTGCCAACGTCTTTGTACAAATTTTCGGTGTCCGCCTGAAGCGGGCTTCGTTTCCTTGGATGACGCATCCTTGGTCGGAAGCAACACTTCCACGTGCTGCGCACGGGCGCCGCCTTGTGCTGTGGACTTCCGGTACGTGCCACTGGACATGCCGGGGTCCCAGCCAGATCTGAAGGTTGCCTCCTCCGTGGAATGCTTCCGAAGGTGTGAAGCCTTCGAAGGATGTGCCGGCTTTTCCTGGCTTTCGGATGGTAGTTGCCATCTAGCTGGTCCCAACTCAACGCTCGTTCCCATGCCGGGCGGCGTAGCCGGCAATGAAAGCTGCTACGCGCCGCGACCAGCTTCAACTTCGAGAACTTCGAGTTTTCTGGATCCCAGCGTCCAATGGCAGTACTGTCAGCGACGTCCGCAGCAGTGCACAGGCAAGGGGTACGAGGTCGCTGTGCAGGCTGTTCCCAGGATGTTGCAGACTCTTCGACAACCAGTACAGCAACAGTATAGCGGCTGGCAGAAGCCCGATGTTGCGGACTTTAAGATTGCAGGTTTGTCGATTGTGGACTGGGATGGCGATGGTGACCTGGATATCGTGACATCCCGCGAGGACGGGCGCCTTGTCCTCTTCCTGCAGGACCCCGACGGCAGGCTGTCCGAGGCGGATGGTGCCTTCAGCTCGATCCAAGTGGGCAAGTGGGCGAAACCAAGCGCCGTGGACTGGGATGGTGACGGTGAGCTTCTTTGTTGTAGAGTAGGCAACCTTTATATCCTTTTTGGGGTAGTACTAATCCCCTTAGAACCCCAAAGGTGAACCTTTAGTTCCCCTTAGGTACTGGGCAGCTAAGGCTTGACATTCTTGTTGGCAACGAAGCCGGGGAGCTCATCTTCTTGAAGGGCTCTGGCAGCGGCACGGTCGAGCCGACTCCCTCCATGCAGGTGTACACCTTCAAGTACACTGCGCCGGCCGTGGGGGATCTGAACAACGACAGCTACCCGGACCTGGTACTGGGCCACGCCTGCCAGCTGGATGTTTATCTGGGGCAGGAGAATGGTGGCCTCAGCTTTGCAGCCTCCTTCAAAGACTTCTCTCCCAGCCGGGAGATATGGGAGGAGGAGAGGAAGGGGACTTGTGCCATTGTGCCCGCAATTTGGGATTGGGATGGTGATGGGCTCTTGGAGGTGGTCGTCGGCGACTACATGGGCAAGCTCTACTTGTGTCGCTTCGCGGGCAGTCTGACGTGCGACGGTGATGCCTTTGACGGCTTTGGTGCCGGCAAGATGGCCGCCCCGGCGGCTGCTGACTGGGACGGCGACGGGTTTCCGGATCTCCTCGTACACAGCTCGAGCAGCTACGACCTCCTGTGGTTTCGGCAGGACCCTTCGGGAGCTCTGCAGATCCCAGAAGACTCATCTCCCTTCCATCTCTTTGATGTGGGTGGGCACGCAGTGCCTGTCCTGGTTGATTGGGATCGAGATGGCGACCTAGACCTCATCGTCGGAAGTGCCGACGGGAGGCTTTGGTACTTTCCCCAGGAGAACGGCAAGTTCACATCCTTCAATCGCCCCCATGGACCTTTTGCCAACGTCGATGTGGGGTCCGATTGTGCACCCACTGCCGTGGACTGGGACTCGGATGGGTTTCCCGACCTTGTGATCGGCAACGAGGCTGGCAAACTGGTCCTCCTCCAAGGAGCGGGAAAGCATCCGCCCCAGCTCGTGGAGGCAAGCCCGTTCTCCGCCATCGATCTCAAGACCCGAATCCGCCCGGCCGTGGTTGACTGGGATGGTGATGGCGATTTGGACCTCATCGTCCTCACTGGGTTCTGGGACGAGCCAATCCTCTACTTCAAAAACCTGCGGGGCATCTTCACGCAGGTGCGTCGCGAGGTCAACCCGTTTGCAGATGTGAAGATAGCTGGCGTCTTCAACCCTGCGACATCCGGTTTCTTCGGCTGCTTTGAGCTTGTGGACTTCGATTCCGATGGAGATTTGGATCTCTTGCTGGCACAGTACCCCTATGATACGCTCTCGCTACTGGAGCAACTTTCAGATGGTAGCTTCGCGCGGGTGACAGGCCGCCAGAGCCCATTTCCAGAGACGATTTCGCTCGAGGGTGCCTTTCCTGGAGGGGGGGGTCTGAGCAATCCCTGCCCGGCCCACGGAGACATTGACGGGGATGGGGTTGCCGACGTCGTTCTAGGGGATCATTCTGGACGAATCACGTTGCTCCACCGAAGAGTCCAGCAGGAATCTGGTCCGGGAACACAACAGCTCGGAGTTGCGAACCCCTTCAACGAGATCGTTGCAGATGGTCCTTGCCGACAGCCTACAGTGATCGATTGGAACAAGGACGGGCGACCAGACGTTCTCATCAACAGGCACATTGCTGTGCGAATGTTTCTGCAGCAGGCAGACGGCTCCTTGCGGGAGGCTTCTCCAGCAGAGATGGATGCCGCCACGAATGAGACCTTTGCGTACATCTCGTCGCTGGCATATGGGGCCGTGACAGGATCAGTGTCGATGACTGCAGCAGATTGGAACAGGGACGGAGATGAGGATCTGGTAATTCTGCACCCTTCCGGTATCTGGCTGTTGGAACGCAGTGGTGCAAATTTTCTTCCTGCGTCGCGCCTGTTCACCTGGCACCCCGACATGTCCTACTCAGTACGAGCAGTGGCCGTAGCCGACTGGGATGGAGATGGCTACCTCGACATTCTGGCCGGGAACTTGAAGACTTCAAAGGTGATGTACCTCCGGCAGGATCCTTCTGTCGGCCTTTATATTGTACCAGAGGAGGAGAGCCCTTTCTCTGACATCGTGGCACAAGGCATGCCGGCTCCCACGGTGGCCGACATCGATGGAGACGGAAAGCTCGAGCTGCTCGTGGGCATGGCTTCCGGGAATTTGTGGACCTACCACCGAGACGACACCGAGAAGCTGGTTCGGACGTCCACCCAGCGCTTCTTCAGTGGGTACCTCGTGCCTGTGCTGGTGGATTGGGATGGAGACGGCGAGGTTGAAGCCGTGGTGGGCTCCTGCGCTGGAGACCTGATGTATCTCAAGCGCCAGCTCTGCAGCCTGCAGGACGCTTGCTTCCATGACTCGGGCATCTGCCGTGCCAGGTCACAAGTGTGCCAGTGCTTGCAAGGTCACACAGGAAACGATTGCTCCAAATGCGCCAGTGGCTTCAGCTCCTCTCCGAAGAGTTCAGAGGATGGCCACAGGTGCTATTCTTGTCCCGGACTCCAGTCCGGAAACGGAACATGCAGCAACAGAGGAGTCTGCGTCGATGACGACTTGGTCCAGAGGCTTGAGCTTGCTGCCGGGACAATGGACCCGTCAGAAGTCCATGTGCTGCGGGGCACGGGGCGGTGCACCTGCAACGCCCACTTCTTCGGCGAGGACTGCAGCCAGGGCGAATGCCCAGCCGGACAAGAGCCGACACTGGACTTGACCTCCAGGTCCACACTTTGCCGGACGTGCTTACAAGGCACTGGAAAGGAGCAGCTGGGGAACCACGCTTGTGGAGCCTGTCCTCCGGGAGCGGCCGCGAACGGCACCGGCTTCTGTGCTCCGTGCGATGTGGGCAGCTACCAGGCGCGTCCCGGGCAGGCGGCCTGCCTGCTTTGTGACGCAGGCAGAGCCCCCAGCAGCGATGGCACCCACTGCCAGCGATGTGTGCGTGGCACCTTTGCCGCTGCTGGCTCCCCTTCGTGCCAGCGGTGTGACAAGGGCTTCTACCAACCCACCCCAGGACAAGCCGAGTGCCTCCTGTGTGATGCGGGCTCCCGGACGGATGATGGACACACGAGCTGTGCTCCCTGCCCACCTGGCACCATCGGGAGGCTTCCCGGGGCCGCTTGCAAGCCCTGCTCGATGTTCACCACTGCCGATGCCGGCCGTACGCACTGCGTCATTGACTGGGTTCTCATGGTGGGTGCAGCCGCCTTCACGGTCCAGACTTTGGTGTTCTTCAGGCTTCTGGTGTTTCTTCCCGGGGTGCGCAGGTCTATCGCTGACATTACCTGGTCGGTGGTCGATGAAGCCGTCATCCTCACAACGCAAGGCAGCCATCACTTTGGCTCCCGGCTCTTGAAGGTGCGGCTGCAGGATACGGAAGTCCCTTGGCTGGACCACGGGCCCAAGAATCCCTTCCTCTACGTGCGAAGGCTGTCCCCGACACAGCTCCAGCTGTTCACGGAGCCGACTCTTCCTTTGACACAAGTCAGTGAAGCTTCCATCGGCACACTGAAGCCGCTGTTCATGGTCGAAGCCCTCGGCACCGTGTTCCTCCGAATCCCAGTGCTGATATGGCTGGCCATGGTTGCAGTGGGCCTCATTATCATTTGCAGCCTGGTCCGCATCCCTTGGTGGTATGTACTTCTGACAGCCACCCTGGATGCTGCCTTGCTCCTTTGCCTGCAGATCCGTCAAGCTGCACGAGGCTCGCGCACTCCCTTGCGAAGCCTCCTGCGCAAGTACGAGGAGCATCTGCAGACTGTGAACCCGTATCCAGTTGGCTGCAAACCAGGCCCCAAGCGTTCTGTGAGCGTCGCGCAGGTGCTGCACCTCAACGAGTTCTTCCGGCCGTTGATTCAGCACAGGAACATGTACTACATCTGCCCAAACATTGTCAAGCCTGCGACCAGCAAGTGGGAGCTTTCCTTTGCTGAAGTCGCGGGCAATGGAATGGTCGACTGGTTCATCTCTCACTTCTGGGGACTGCCCTTCAACGAGTTTGCTCACAGCCTGCGGGCGCACGCCGTGCAAGTTGGCGGCGCCCACTGGGAAGCGCTCCGCTACTGGATCTGCACCTTCAGCAACAACCAGTGGCGTTTGCACGAGGAGATCCCGCCCGGCGCCGCGCCGAGGGAGTCCTCCTTCTTCAAGGCGCTCACGGCGCCTTCGTGCCAGGGCACCGGCATGATGCTGGACACGGAGGTCACTCCCTTGAGGAGGTCCTGGTGCCTCTTTGAGATGTTGCACACCTTCATCCAGCACGAAGCCAGCCAGAGCGTGAATCGCTTGGTGCCCTTCCTGGGCCTCTTCATGCTGACGCCGAACGGCGTGCTCAATGCCGGCCGTGGCAGCCTGGACACCGCCCTGAAGATCGGGCAGCAGCTCGCCAAGCTGCGCTTGGAGAACGCCTCCGCCACCCGAGCGGAAGACAAACAGCGCATCGACGACGAGGTCCGCAACTCCCCGGGTGGATTTGCGGCCATCAACCGCAAGCTGCGCGGCGAGATCAACCTCGTCTTGGAGCACATGTCGGAACGATTCACAGACGACTTGACCGCGCTGACGTCGCAGTTGCATGAGAGGGATGTGCAGGATGAAGACGTCGACTCGTCCGCGGTAGGGGAACAGCAGGAGGGCACCTCGGAAGCCCCAGAAGTGGCGTCTACGCAAAAGCCGGGAAGCCACGGCTGGTGGTGGAGACGATGGCTGTGGGGGGATGTGACGCGCGAAAGTGCACGCAACGCCAAGGCGTCGATAATTCAGTTGTAGTTGGGAGCTTCCATAGCTCCAGTGCTCCCTAGAGTGGACGCTCGAAGTGTCGTTGCCAAGGGGTCAGAAGGCACCTTGCAAGCAGGCGCCGGAAGCATGCTTTTGTACAGGTCCACGAAGACAGGCAGGACATGAGTTAACATGACGAAGAGCAGGCAAGCGGTAAAGAGCAGGGCGATGCTTATATGGTCCACAATCCCTTTTTATTAAGGATCGATGTGAGCCCCCACGACTTCCTGAAAGAGTGGATGCCAGGTGCATGCTCTTACTTGATAACCCCAAGTCCTGGAAGCCTTGAGCCGATCGGGGGGGGGGGAGGCGTAATCAGTAGCGCGCAGACCTGCGCCTGTTGGACTTCGCTTGGCAAGTCCGAGTTGTGAGAGCACAGAACAGCGAGCATGAAGCTGACAGAATATGCTCTCAGGGGTGGGGTTTTGGGACCAGGGTTTAGGGATCCTAAACCCTAAACCCTAAACCCTTTGCAAGCTCGGGAATGTGAAGGACTTTGCGAAGCTGGGCGACGCGCTGAGCCGAGAAGCTGCCTGCGTCGCCAGCCTGGCGAGGCTCGAGCCCTCAGCTATTCGTTTCAAACGGGGTTTAGGGTTTAGGGTTTAGGGTTTAGGGTTTAGGGTTTAGGGTTCCTTTCCAAGAGCTTCCAGTCCTTGACATTTCGAATGCCTGGGAGAGAGAGAGAGAGAGAGAGAGAGAGAGAGAGAGAGAGAGAGAGAGAGAGAGAGAAGAGAGAAAAGCGAGAGGGCTTCGGCTCTGCAAGCAAGCAAGCAAGCAAGCCCTAAACCCTAAACCCTAAACCTTAAACCCTAAACCCTAAACCCTAAACCCTAAACCCTAAACCCCAAACCCTAAACCCTAAGCCCTAAGCCCTAAACCCTAATCCCTAAACCCTAAACCCTAAACCCTAAACCCTAAACCCTAAACCCTAAACCCTAAACCCTAAACCCTAAACCCTAACTAACCAAACCCAAACCCCAAAAGAGGGCTTCATGAAACGTACACACCCGACTGGGCCAGGGAGCCGGTCAGGGACGTTCACAACAAGCGGCCTCCCACGATAAGAAGGCACCCGTGGCACCCTAAACCCTAAACCCTACACCCTAAACCCTAAACCCCCGACCGACATCCGTGATTCCGGGCCTTTGCCTCAACCCCAAACCCTAAATCCTAGAGTCTCAGTTTGAGGAGGATTTCGGGGCCATCTCTTGGAGGTTCATAGGTACTTGTACCAAGTCCCCCAAGTAGGTCAAAAGTACAGATATAATTGGGGCTATAAGTACCCCTGAACCTCCAAGTAAGGTTTAGGTTAAGCTCTTGTCAAAGTTTGCAGCTCTTGTTTGTGCTGTAATGAAGTGTTGCGACGCCGATGACACAGCCCTTGTCCCCAGGCCATATTTCTTGTTTCTGTACACCCTGCTTCCTGCAACTGAACAACTTCAACCCTAAACTCTGATGGTTTTTATCCCGAGTCAGGCCGTCGTCCCGGAGTTTTCAAAACGCTTCACGCCGGGGCCTCACTGGCGCGAAACGAGCCACTCTGCACTGAGAGGATGTGTGTGTCTGTGTGTGTGTGTGTGTGTGTGTGTTTTTTTCAAGTCTTCGGGGTACTTAGGCCCTTCTGTTAGATATTTTCGCCCCATTTTCTGAAGCTCTTGTCATCATAGCCAGCCTCTACGCCTTTTGCTGTGCAGCTAAGGTCCCGTCCGGATTTAAAGTGGACGGCCTGCAGAGGCTTCGCTGCCTTCTGTTGTGTCTGCTCTGTGCCCAGTTCCCAAGCCTTGAACCTTTTGATCTTCGGCTACTTCAACCCTACCATACCGCCCTTCGTGTTTGTAGCTGCACCAGAGAGCTCTCCACGCAGCTGCATTCGCCTTGCCGTGCATCACCGGCTCGAGCTTTGCTCTGCTGCTGCAGCAGCGTAACTTGCACCCACGAAATTCTTCAGACGCCCAGGAGAACACTTTGAACATGTGCGTTGACGCCTCTAACTGTACAACCCCCCCTTGCCCTCTTCAGAAGCGCAGACCCATCCTCCATCGCAGGTCAAGGTAGGCTTTTTCCGATTTCAAGTGCGGAGTCGGTGAGATGAACGATGAGGAGTTGCAGCAGAAGATCGACCGTCTCCTTAAGGTTGTGAGTGACAGAGAGCCTGAGCTGGCGCGCGAGGATGAGCGCGAGCCAGCGCACCCGGGCCACGAAGCCCGCGCCTCCGAGCCAGCTTCACCCAGGAGGGACGAGGGCGAGCTTGACGACCGCTTGGTTTCTTGGCCGTCGAGCTCATCATCGGCAGTTCCCAGTCGCGCAGCAAAGGCTGTTCCGACTTCCTCGGCCTTCCGGCGAGCTTGGGGGCCGTCTCTGACGGCAGCGGTAAAGGCCAACATGCGCCGGCTTGCCCTCAAAGACTCAATGCCACCGCAAGAACAGGCAGGGGAAGCGAAGCATGAAGGAGAAGAAGCAGGCGGGAAGGAGTTTGCAGTTTCTCGCGAGGCCAGGAAGATGTTGGCATCCATTGGGCACAGCCTCGAACAGGGAGACCTGCAGAGTTGGGAGCTCCACCACGCTGCAACTGGACTGTCACGGAGGCTGCTGAAATCTGCAGGGGACAGGGATCCATTGGTGACCCAAGAGTTGCCGGATGCCTCAAACTTCTGGATCCGCATGTCGGCCGGCGTGCCAGACTTGGGCGTCCAGGTGAGCGTGCCCGTCTCCCGCGCGCTCCACGCCCTTCCGGAAGGCCGGGCGGTTGTGGGCCAACTCGTGGCTTTGTCATAGTTGGGTAACATCTTACATTTTTAAGGTTGCTTAAACTCAATAAGGAATAACAAGAAGACCCAATAAGGAATAACAAAGCTACATTTTTAGTATTCTCCCAACAATGAACTGTAGGTGGCTGCCTTGATGCTGTTGCGCCTGCACGGGGTGGAGCCAGCCTCCCTCGCGCGCGCGAGGAGGGCGGCGAAGGAACCCCTGTCGGAGATCATGAAGCTGAAGGCGGAAGCGAGGAGAAAGCAGAAGCAGGCGAAGAAGGAGGCGCAGAGGGAGAAGAAAGCGCAGGCCAAGGCAGCGAAGAAGGCGAAGAAGGGCGCGGCGAGGACGGTCCTGGAGGGAGCCGGAGAGCCCAAGCCCGTGGGCCGCCAGAACCTCGTCCTGGTCTCGAGAGTGGATGCTTTGAGAGCGGAGGTCGTCCAGGAGCTGCAGCGTGGGCCCAGGACCATGAACGAGCTGAGCTGCCTCTTCGGGGGGCGCCTGAAGAAGGCGGCCAGGAAGGCGGGGGAGAGCGTCAAGTTCAAGCCCTGGCTCTTGCAGATCCAAGGCGCGAAGTGGGATTACGGGGGCAAATACGGGAGCAACCCGCTGCTCACCCTGATGCGTCCAAAGAGATCTCGCTCCAGGAGCCCCGGCCCGCGAGAGATCCGCGCCGGGTAGCACTCAAAAGCAGGGGCCCTTCCAGAGGCCGTGGCCGATGCGCCGCCTTACGGAGAGACCGAAGAGTGCCTGCAAAGAGGAGCAGGGAAGTTCGTTTGGGGTTTAGGGTTTAGGGTCTAGGATTTAGGGTTTAGGCTTAGGGTTTAAAGTTTAGGGTTTCGGTGTTCTTACTCGGTGTGTGTTTCTGTGAGCTCACCTCTGTATGTTTGGCTGCGGGCTCGTGGGTGGAGTTTGCTCTGAGGAGATGGGGGGTTATCGGGGCTTGTTTAGGCCTTTGGGATCCGGGGGGTTGAGGGCGGGTTTGGGCATGAGGGGTTTAGAATTTAGAATCAGAGGTTTAGGGTTTAGGGTTCAGGGTTTAGGGTTTAGGGTTAGGGTTGGAGGTTCAGGGGCTTCAGGGTTTCGGCATCTAGGGGGCTTGGAGAGGGCTTGGGGCTTGCATGGGGTTCAGCAGCTTAAGGTCAGGCACTCCAGAAGGTTGATTTGGGAGGGTTCCAAGATTGCAGGGTTTAAGGTTTGGGGTTTAAGGGTTAAGATCCAAAATATACAGAAATACACAAAAATATGAAAAACATGGGTAAAATGTACATAGCTCTTCGCAGGTGCTTGGGGCGGTTTTCGGTATGCTTGAGGGGTGATGGTGTCTAAACACCTGAACCCTCAACCCAAAGCCCAAAAGCCCTGACCCCGGAAGGTGACGTTCAACCACGAATGTCGGCCGGAGACCCAAGTGGAGGGCTTCGAGAACTGCCCGTTGCAACCCGTCAGTGCTTTTAAGGCCCGAAGTCCCCCAGGCTTAGGGTTCAGTCGCTTTGCGGTACTGCGTGGGTATCTCCATTTTGTGTATGCTGTGAGATTGTCGCACAGTATGTGGACCTTCGACGGAGTGGGGCCTCACCATATCAGGCTTCCCTGTGTAGTTTAGGAGTGCCCTATTAGGGATTTGATTTGAGATGTCGAACCTGCCATCCACAAGCTCACATTGGCACTACTCTATGGAGACTCCTGGAAGGAAAACGAGAGCGCTTACGGACTCGGTATAGATGTTACTTGGGACGCACGAGGGTCGCAGGGGGTTGTTGGGCCATTGAAGGCCAGAAAGGTAGTGCGTGTTGAGCTGCAGCCGCTTTTCGTCCCACGTCTGGGTGCACCGGCCCCATGCATGTCCACAACGAGGCGAGTGATTTTATTAAGAAATACCGATCACAAAAGGATCACAAAAAGGCCTAGTCTAGAGATGCTGATTCCGCTTTTGGGGATCTGCCCAGCGAACAGTTCGCGACTGTGTGGAGGTAACCGGGGGGTAACTCCACTACCGAGGGGACAACATTTTTCAGCGCGTCCCACGCTTGAACGGCCCATGAGCTGAGTCTGACATCAGGCAAACTGAGGTTCATCTCAATGGGTTGAAGAATTTTAGCAGGTGTTTTTCTTGAATCTGCATTCACACTTGTGTATCAACTCGCCGGCATGATGGGGGCACTGGCATGCTTTGATTCTGGGAACTCGAACAGCCCGTTTCTGCTTGTCTTGTCTGCCGCTGCTTCTCTCACAGCTTTGCGGGGGTCGAAGAAGATCACGATCTGGCATCTTAGTTCTTAGTATCATTTTGTCAGAATCAACGACCCCCACCCCCTCAGCAAAGTATCGAGTGACGGGATTCGGCGCTTGGGTGCTGACCATGTCTTCGTCCTCGACGGGAGATGTTGGGACTTCGAAGTCCGGGAGCAAGAAGAAGAAGAAGATGAAGTCGAAAACGGTCAAAACGCAGAAAGTAGAAGCGGCCCAGGGCGGATTGTACCTTTCGGACAATCCTGCAGTTGGTGCATTTGGTGCTCCTGCCGATCAGATTGTCGAAGACCCAAGGATGACTCTTCTAGAACGAGATGATGCCGAGGGTTTCACCAACCTGTGTCAAGGCGCTCGAGAATCGCAGAATGAAGAAAGTCGTCAAGGTGGCATGTGTTTCCATGGCACTGTTGCAGAGGAACGTTCCAGCTGGTGCAGTTGGCTTTACAACCGTTTGCCTGTGTGGATGACGAAACCTTCATTACAAAAAGCCAGATGGTTTGGATGATATGGGGATTTTGACGGCTGTTCCAAAGCAGAGACTTTTCCAAATTTGGGAGATCTTCACTTCCATTGACACGGACTCCGACTTGCAAGTTGATGCAGCTGAAGTGAAGTGCTTCTTCTATCACTTGGGAGCGGCTTCAGAAGATCCGCGCTGCAGGGCCGCGATTGCGGCTCAGTTCAATCACCCAAACTCTGAAGGTCGAGCCTTTGCCGCGCAAGATTTCGTTGACGCTTTGTCACAAGAGCCAACAGACACTCTTAAGCGCTCTGGTTGGGTTCGATGTTTCGGGCCAGTTTTTCCATTGCAGGATGCGACAGGATCACAGAGTTCAGCAACCAAAGGATCAGTGCAGCCAATGTCGGAAGCAAAGGATATCTACGATGAACCAGAGCAGAGACTTTTGACATCAGGCTTTTGGCAATTCGCAGGGTGTCCGTTGTGCAGGCCGTCTGGCGAGTCTACCGATCTGGGCCCTGTGGACCTGGTGGATGAATTCCGATTGGTGGCTCTGAAGCAGCGCTGGGGTCGCTTTTCTTCTTGGAAATTGGCTGCCGCCGTCGAGCGCTTTCGGCAATACAATGCGGCTTGGCAGGGTTTAGGGCTCAGCTTTTGTGGTTTAGGCTTTGCGTCGCAAAATGGGTTAGGGTTCAGGGGTCAGGTTTCAGGGTTGAGGGTAGTTGAGGGTTCAGGTTTTGGTGTTTCGGGTTCAGTTGTCAGTAGGGAATGAAGGAATGAATCCAGGTTGCAATCCTTATGCCTTATGCTTTCTCCTGTAAGATTGGCCTTTATAGCCCATGTCCTCATTCTCTACTCACCACTGGTACGGACTCAAACCACTCCAAAATGTGGCTGCCTGGAACTTGCATGTGATATGCAGATTCCGTATTCTCACCCAATATCATTGACTGACACTGTATCCACACACATGAAAGGTGGAAATGGAGATGTTTATGGGTTTCCAGAGTAGAGATCGCTTTCTTGGGTCCAAGCGAAGAGTATTGCATAGTTTGGTTTGCAACTAGGCGACCTCTGTCTTCGGGAATTCCCAGATGAAGACTTCCAACACTTAAGCTTAAGCTTAAACCCTAGCCCAAAACCTTAAACCGCTGTCACGTCTTCTTGAGGAGGCTAGAGTCGCAAGCCTTGCACCCTAAATCCCAAGCTCTTGACCCTCAAATTCCCTGAAATAGTGCGGCTCCAGCTGGACCCCGAACCCCCAAACCTTACTTGGAGGTTCATGAGGAGTTAGAAGGACGGTTGCAAGTAGCTGGGGAACTATGGCTGTTTAGAGCCATAATTTGTGACGGATAACCCCACTTGTGACTACCCGTGAACCTCCAAGTCAACCCTCAACCCTCAACCCAAAACCCCTAAACCCTAAACCCTAAACTCTAAACCCTAAACCCGCAACCCTCAACCCTCAACCCTCAACCCTCAACCCTAAACCCAAAACCCTGCACCCTAAACCCTAAAGTGTGCTTCCGAAGCTAGCTGAGGAGCGGTCGAGGATGGAGAGGATCCTGGGTCTGAACCTGTCTCGCCCAGATCTCATATCTATTGCCTTGACTCTGGGTTGATGAGGAAAGCTTTCCCTACTGGTTCTGAGTAGGGTTTAGGATTTAGGGTTTTGGATTTAGGATGTGGGCTTTAGGGGGTTCTTAGTTGGGCATGAGGGAATGAGGTACCTGACATCCCCCGTATACCTTTGAAGGGATTATATGGGCTACCTGATTCCGCCATTCCATACTAAGAACCGGCAAAGTTTGCCTTTGCACGAGCCATGGTCCAAAGCTCTTTAAAGAGGGTACATAGATTATCTGGGTTACTACTAATTGTGGGGATTATGAATAGGATATGAGGAGCTCACATGTTGAGGTATACCTGAACCAACTAGGTAGAAACAAAGCGTTGTCATGTCTAAGAGTACTTCAAGATCTCAGGAATTTGTTCGCGGCTTTTTCCTCCATACTGGATGTCTACACGGATGTGGAACTTCTCATGGCCATCTTCAACAAGTCAAAAGACTGCTTGGACTTGTCATGGGAGAGTGAAGGTTGCCTCCACCATAGTTACATGAAGCTCGGAATCTTGCTTGCCCTTTCCATTGCGGCTCCTTTCGTTATTTCCTACAGCCACATCATCGCAAATTTGCCGCTTGTTTATGGATGGGTTTGATCAACAGATAGATCGTCCAGTAGACGTAGGAGCTCGGCAGGGGCATTGTTTACGTCGAACTCCCGCAAGTCCCACGAAGCGCCGGCCAACCAGCTGAGGCAAGAGAATGGCTTCTTCTCGAATGGCCGCAATGCTTGCTTAGGTTTCCTTTTGGCTGGCTGGTTCGGGCCGATCTACCTCGCCATCCTAGAGTTGCCGTTGCTTTGCCGGGATGTTCTGTGGGCACCAGTCACTTGCTTGCTTGGAAAGGGTGCCAGGGACAAAGGCGAAGCGGTATGGGTCAGGATCTTTCAGAGCCTGGGCATTGTGGATGGCGGAGGCTACAGAAAGCAACGCGCAATGGCTCAGCTGTTCTTTGAAACCATCCCGCAACTTTTGATTCAGTTCTTGGTGGTAGAAGGAGTGATCCAAGCTCAAGACCTGGTGGAATCTGACCGAGAAACCATCATTCGCTCCCTTGTGTTGGCTGTCTTGCACCTGGGCTGATCTGATCGCCATACCGCAATATTTTTTGAGGTCAGGAAAGGAATGGTTTCGTAGCTTGAAGCATTGCATAACCCATACTGTACCTATACTGCTCGACACTCATTTTGTGAGACCAAGCGTTGACCCAAATAAGCTTGACCCTGTGCGCAGAGCTTTTGCCTAATGCACGCGTTAGGGTTTAGCCTGTATCTTCCCGAGGAACCTTCTTTGCCAACTTCTTCGAACTTGGTTTGAGTGTAGAGTTGTTGAAGAGCCCTTCTTGCGCTACACCATCATCAACTTATTGGCTTGCTCAGATTGGGTTCCATTTCTTGATCTCTTCTTTACGAAGACACCTGCCACGACTGGTTCCATTCGGCCCATGGCCCGTCACACCATCAACTACGCAGAGTTAAGCGGCCAGCTGCCGAGCCATCGATGGACTGGACTTAGATTGCCGATCTCCTTCCGCTCCCAAGCCATGTTGTGAAAGCTTGAACGTTGAGCTCCCTACACCCGAAGCCCTAAACCTTAAACCTAACTGAGCGCGTAGAACGCGTGCTTGTTATGTCTTGAGCTCTCGCACCCTGCCTCGTGGAACCAGTGTTGGCCATCATCTTTTTCGTCTATACTAGACACACTGGAGGGTGAGGTTGGCCTCTCGTCATATCGGCTGAAGACGGGAGTGCATGATGCACGGAGGGTTTCAAGATCGTCTTGTTGAGTGCCACTCCCCGAGCAGCAATTGTGTCGGATAGTTGTTTTCAAACATGTCCAGCAATTGTTGTTTCTGTGTGTGTGTGTGTGGCCTCGTTTGAAAGGGTCAGTGATTTGGCCTGCTATGCTTAGTTTGGAAATTTCTCCCAAACGCTCATCATACTCGCAGTACCAACCTTGTTCTGCAGCATCTAAATCGTGCAAAGGGTCTATTGCTGCTTTCAAGACTAATGCACCGAGGTTTCACGTGCACATCGGTGCAGCATCTGATCTCTGAGCTGTGCCGACAGACGGAAGACGATGGGAAGTCGGCCTGTTGGAGAAGGTTCAGAGATCAGAAATACAACGAAGAGAAGTGCAACTTCAGGTCGCTTGGGAAAAAACTCCCTCCCGCCTAGCGGGCCTAGCAACGCTTGGTACTTCAACCGCTCCAAGCCCTAAACCTTAAACCCTAAAGCCTCAACCCTCAGGGGTGACGTGACATAGTAGGGGCTGCCTTCAGGTTGCAGAAGCTCATTGGCGGAAACCACGCGAAGCTTTTGGGTCAACCCTACCTTCGGTGTTTGGCCGAAGAGTTGGAGTGCGATCTGCTTCAGCGGGACGGTGATACGTACTTCTATTACAAGAGGCAGCGACATGCAGGAGCTCCTTTCGTGGCTGATGATGTTCAGGTCGAGAAATGTTTGACCCGGCAGTCGGGGATAGAGACTTTCTTTGCAGACACCTCGACAAGACTCGGACGATTTGGAGATGGAGGTTCCACTTCCTACAACTTTAAGTTCGTCCTTGGAAACTCCTGCGAACGCCTGTGCTTGCAAGAAATTCTACAACTGCTTCTTGCGTGTTGGGGCCGCGTGTCCGTAGATTTTTCGGGTGTTGACTGGAGCTTGGCGCTGCAGAGATCGAGCTCTTCTGGCTTACTGGTGGAGACATATGATGAGGGCGAGGGCGAGGGGCAGTGGCAAGCCTTTATGCCGGATGGCGAGCCTGTTATTGCAAGATGCCTCATGCTAGGGCTATCACGAGAAGTGGCGGATCCTGTGAAGGCAAAGTTCGATTTTCACGTGCTGGCTCAAGAACTGCTGGCCCTGAGGGCCAATCCAAATGTGAAAGACACGTCAGGGCAGTCTTTGTTGTTGGCATGTGTTAAGAAACACAAGGCACGGGCAATCCAGCTTCTTGTTGACCATGATGTGGAAATCTCTAAAGATGCCTTGCAAGAGGCTGTTCAACACAGCTCAGTTGATGTTGTCCTGCGATTGCTGAACTCCGAGAAGTGGTCACAGAGCTCCTCTGCTGGCGAAGGCAAGTCGCTGTGCGGTCTGGCTTGCCGGAGATTGAAGGACGCTTGCATGAACATTGATCAAGCCTGTGCGGGGGTTCCAGCCCATGCATACGGTGCAATATTCGAAGCTGATGAGGTTTTGAGGCTGCTGCATCTTGGCATCCAAATATATTTCTTAGTTTTGATCCCTGCAATTCGTGTGAGACTTCTTCTTGTAGTGTTACCACAACAGACGCAGTGAGGTACGAGAAGCGCCTGACGCTGCCCGAGGCGGAGATTGGGTATGCGTTGGAGTCCGAAGCCGCCTTATGCATTTGCCAGTTCCATGAAGAAGGTCATCCCCACAGAACGCAGTTGAAGACTGCCGTCCACAATGCCTTGCAACAGACCATTGTGGCAACCTCAAGCAAGCTTCTCAGCAGGGTGACCGAAGAGGGGGATACCATGTTTCATTTGTTAGGAAGAGCGGCTCCAGTACGACCTGTAGCCTATGACAGAATGAGGCTTTGGATGCAACAGTATTCGGAACAGGACCTCTCTCAATATCTTCGCCTAAAGAACAGGGATGGGCTGTTGGCTGTGGAAGTCGCGCTTGATGCAGGAGTAGGTCATGACCCTGCGCCAGACTGGAAAGACAACTGTATCTTGAGCTGGTTGTTTGAAGAGACCGAGCTTCGTGAAGACGAGCGCGAAGACTTTTTGCAGCGATGTGTGGCTGCCTGCTGCAAGCGTGCCAAAAGCTACTCGATGAACAAAGACCAAATCTCCGGTGGCCTCCAACAGTTTCTACACTTAGCAGATCGCAAAAAGTTTTATCCAGAGTGCAGCCAGGCTTGCTTCGATAAGGCTGCAGAGATTCTGCTCAAAGAGGCCCAGTACAAGGCCTGTCAGCACTTAGTCAAAGCAGCTGACGAGTTGAAATTGTCAACAGAGTCCGTGCACACGATGCTGAAGCCCGCAGAGGGTGCTCAGAAGCAGACGCGCAAGCAGGCACCCGAGACGCAGATTGAAGTCAATTCGGTCCGGGTGATTGGCAAACAGCAGAGCCTACAGACAAGCTGTAGTTGCCGGAACCTTTTGCGAGAAGCCATTGATGCAAAGCTTGGGGAGAGTGCAAACGCACCTCGCAAAACAGCGTTCATGAACGTGATTGTTCAAGGTCTTGTCATCGTCCTTGAGGTTCTCTCGGCTGCAGACCTTGTCACAGATATCCTTCTTCTGAGATGGATGTACTTGAGCCACCACATTTGGTGGGCAACGCTGTCTTGTTTAATGATGGTGGCCCCATATTTGGCTGCCTTCTCCGCAACTTTACGGATCGGCTTGCGAAACCGCATCTTTGAGGGTACGGATGCCGATGGGAAAGCTCAGTCTTTCTATTGGTGCCGCAAGCTCGCCGGGTCAGTGTGTATGACACCTCTTTGCGTTGCAGCCTTTATTCTTTTGGATTTGGTTTATACAATCAAAGCTGCCACTTTCGATGTCTTTGCCCTCCTAGTTGGTCTCACTGCACCTGGCTGGAAATGTGATTTGACAGACGGCGCAGTGAGCAAGTTCCTCTCTGATCACCTGGGCTTAACAATAATGGATATTGAAGGCTATCGCCGGCTGCGTACAACCACCCAGCTACTCTTTGAGTCCTTCCCCCAAATCGTCCTTCAGCTCTACATCTTGCTGAAGTCTTCCTCCGAGAGGGAATTCGAGGTTTCAGACGAAGAGTTGGTCGTATCCTTGGCATTCGCCTTGTCCCTTTGTCATAGTTGGGTAAGATTTTACATTTGTTGAGGGTACTTAAACCCAATAAGGAAAATATAGGTTTTCATTACTATCCCAACCATGAACTAGGTTCCACCTCTTTGCAACTTGCTGCATCGTTTGGTTGGAAGCAAGATCTGCCAGAGAATCAGTTGCACACTATACGATGACGTGTCTGACAGGAAGACTTGGCTGGCTCCCATTGGCAAGCAGTGTAGATCTGAGAAGCTCAAACAAAGGAGAGGGGCAGAAGTTGCACTTTGATGATTTGTCTTTCTCATTGGCATGTGGGCGCTTCACGATGGCCTTTGAGTTCAGTCAAAGTACCTGGGCAAAATTGCTGGGTGCTCTGTCAAAAGTTCAGGACCAAGCCAACAACATCTCTGTAGCATTTGGACCTTCCATCTCTCTCCTGAACATGCATGACATATTGACCTTCCACAAGCGCTTCTCGAAGCTGCAGATTTCCATGCAGAGTGGAACAGAACCCGTGCCGTGGACAAGGATCTTGCAGAATTCCGGATTGAGCCCACAATCGGGCAACATTTCGATGAGTCAGAAGCAGTCGGCCTACGCCCAAGGATTGCTTGAAGAATTCATCTTGAACCACAATTGCGACGCGGTACATGCCCTCTTAGAGGCGGGCGTTTGCAGCACTACAGGGTTGACCTCCCGGGGCTTGATGTATTTGACATTTGCAGTCGAGATGAAGCCCGGCATAGCTTGTGGAAGCAAGATAAAGACAAGAAGCGCGCGCCCTAAAAGGCAAGAGCCTGCAGCCAATGCATGCAAGCTAGAAGCTAGCCTTGAAGCCAAGGAGAAACGCAAGCATCTGCAAGCTGCTGCTGACCTTCAAAGCTCCTTTGACCTCATCGGAGTTGTCTTCCGAGATCATGGACCCGTTGGTTGAGTGGGGCTTGCGTGTACGAAGCACGCTGGAGACGCCTTTGGAAGCTGCCTTTCGCGTGTCGGATGCTGATGTCATTTCCGCTTTTCTGTTCCACGAGCGGATTCAGGCAAACTTCGCGACGAGGAGAAGCGTCCTGAGATTGGCAGAGGTGGCTCGAGAACAGAACCTTCTGAAAGCTGCTGACACGTACGCCAATGCATCAGGTTTGGCTCCAGAGTGGGACCGCACCGTTTCCTGACTGGTTTATGGGCTGTATCTTCTATCGTAAAGCAGTTTGGGGGGAATTGTCACCCTAAACCTAAACCCTAAACCCTAAACCCTAAACCCTAAACCCTAAACCCTAAACCCTAAACCCTAAACCCTGGCTTTTGGTGCCCTTAGGCGAGCTTATCAGCCCGAGTTCTGCTACGTGGCGAAGCATCAGACTCCACGGTCGACTGCTGCGTCGCAGAGTTGCGGCGGTTCGACCTCTTCCGCGAGAAGCTTTTTCCGGTGGGAAGCCATGAACTGATCCCCCAGGCTTTGAAGAAGGTTTAGGGTTTAGGGTTTAGGGTGTAGGGTTGAAGGTTCAGGGCTTAGGGCTTGGGGTTTAGGGTTTAAGGTTTAGGGTTTAGGGTTTAAATATGAGCCCTGCAGGTTCTGAAAACAGCGGCGGATGGTGTTCTCGAGGTGGATCTGACCTTCGTGGCGCAGGCATTTCCACGGTTAGCTGCTCGGCTATGCAGGCGACCATTTGCTTGTGCGTGACAGCCATCATCCAAATTGAAATTGCAAGAACCGACTTTTGTTTCCTACAAGGATCCCTGCGAGGTGTGAGGTGGATATATACAGTTTGTGCCCCAGGTGTTGCGAAACTTTAGACGCAACGCTTTCACACTTCTTTGCGTTTTCGAGGGTTGATGGTTTATTGCGTTGCCTACGAGGTATTTTCAGCAGCTCATCTTGAACAGTTGCTCGCAGTGGTACGCGCAGAAGCGAAAATACCTTCGACTGCTTCCCTTCGAGTTTTAGACGGCTTGGTTTCTGAACTTGGACTTGTAGATATGCAGAAGTACGTGCAAATGACAGCCCCCCATCGAGCATCTTGGCATGACTTTGCAGAGATTGTGGTGCGATTTTTGAATCCCTGTTGCCCTCTCAAAGGGCTCGACGGCCCCGCAGTAGACTCCAAGGTCACCCGCACGATCCGACACTCACAGGAAGAGGGGCAACACGCCCGAAACAACAACTCACGAGAGAAGCGCGCCTTGGTGATTTGTAGCCTGACCATGCCGTCTGATTGCTGGCGAGCATACGGTATGCGAATATCTGGGGAATGGACAGATCAAGGTTGGGGCAACACGGACGTGAACAAGGTTGAGATTCGGGCTGTCACAGCTGGTGCTGGCCTGGTGTATGTGCAAATTCATTCTGTGAATTGGAATTCAGACAGTGGTCGCATTGAAGTGAAGTTTGGTGGGGCTCAGCTTGGACAAGGCTTGGACGAAGAGGATGAAACAGGCCGAAAGAATCTGGATCTTGAGCAAGCCGAGTCTCTGCTGGAGGTCCTGACGGCAGGCGATCTGGTCCAGATCACGATGGCTTGTGTTAGCTGGGGTGGTCATGAAGCCCATGCAGAAAATACTTGTTTGGAAATAGATTACTTCACCCGTGATAGTTAATGATTTCAGCTGCCGACGAAACGCGACGTTAGCGCAGCGCCTGCCGAACCATGTTCCTCGAAGAGGAATCCTTCGGCTACGGCCCGGGCTATTTTTCACAGGCTCCATGTCTAAAGTTATCTTTACATGAAGGATCCTCAGAAGGGCTGTATAGGGGGATATGAATATAAATAATTTAGTCACGGGGCTTGTGTCTGAAGCTTTGGCTGTCTGCAGCCACATCATGTTGGCTTGTAGGAGCTAGCTGGCTTTCCTCTGCGAGGAAGTTGATTTCTATGCTGTGCGGCCGGACAACTTCTTTCCTCGTAGATCAAAGGCGCAGGTCATATTCGCACATAGCTGTTCTGTGCTTGCCACTCCTCACTCTATGGATTCGTCTGCCCGCAGCCTTTTGAGCTTGAGCAGTCTGCAGCTAGGAAGACTCCACATTTCAACGCAGTTTTCTCGCTTTAACGCCAGGGTTTTGGAGATTGAGCACCCTAAACCCTAAACCCTAAACCCTAAACCCTAAACCCTAAACCCTAAACCCTAAACCCTAAACCCTAAACCCTAAACCCTAAACCCTAAACCCTAAACCCTAAACCCTAGTGTTATGAGGAGGTGATTCATGGCCGGCTGCTGTGCTCAGGCGCATGTCCAGAGGCCAGGGCAAGATGGTGACGTGAAACTGGTTTAGGGTTAGGCTATAGGGTATAGGGTTTAGGGTTTGGGGTTCAGGGTTTAGGGTTTAGGGCTGCTTCAGGGCATGTGAGGGGGTCGCTTGCAACATGATGTTGACGTGGATCCCCATGCAGGGCGCCTTTCCATTCGCCGAAACTCTAGGCAGAAGCTTGCCTGACTTGATCAGATCACAGAGGAAACTCGTTTTTGCTTGAAAAGAAGTTCCGACATCAATTCAGCTGCACGTGAGCTCCAAAAGATCGGGTTATAGATAAACCTAAACCCTAAACCCTAAAAGGCATGATGCTACAGGGGTTTAGTTTGGGGCAACTGATCATGTAGAGGGATCCGGAGTCCTGGACGTGCAAGTTTCGTGGGAAGGGCTCAAAGATTTCGGTTGCAGCTGTCTGACTTATGTAGGGTGTAAGGTTTCGGGTGTGGTGTGGTTCTTTTTCTGCAGCGCAGGTAGCCACGCCGATCGCGCGCATCGAGAGGCCTCCCCTGCCGCGTTCCCAAGAGTTGTGCCACCCCCGTATCTCCAAAGTCACAAAGCTGGGCCGTGGGTTTCTTCAAGATCTGGGATGCATGTGCGTGTCTACGTGCCGTTGCTGCGAGCCAGCCCTGGAGCAGCCCGCATGTCATAACATTGCGGCGTTGGGAGCTTCGAGCTTCAGGGCCCAGCTTGTGAAAGGCGAAGGGGTTGTCAATTGAGAACGTCATGCCGCTTCAATGGAAAAAAATGCCCCAAAACCCCAAAACCCTAAAACCCCGAAACCCCAGAACCCCAAAGCCCCAAAGCCCCGAAGCCCTGAAGCCCCAAAGCCCCAAAGCCCCGAAGCCTCAAAGGCCCGAAGCCCCAAAGCCCCAAAGCCCCAAAGACCCAAAGAGCCCAAGACCCAAAGCCCCAAAACCCTAATTCTTGAAGTCCTTGCAACCATCGCTTGATGCTTTCTGCCCAGGCGTGTGATTGCAGAGTTCAGCCCACAGCTCAGTTTCGTTTTTGGTTCTGATCAGGGCTTGCTAAGAAGCTCTTTTGACTTAGTAAGTCTACTTCGTATCCCCTAGAATCCCTAGCAAACCCCCGTAACCCACCTTACTAATGAAGAGGCTTGGTAACGGTCCTTGGTGGTTGTCAACATGAGGTGACGCCGAGCTTCGCCGTCCGCAGCCGGAGAAGCTGTAATTGAAGACATGCGGATTCCTTCCAAAAGCTTGGCTCTGCTTCAGTCCCTCCTGGAAGTCGTTTAGACTTGCGCCCTAAGCTTGGCCTGCGCTTTGCCAGACAAGAACTCTGCGCGGCTGCACGTCTTCAGCCCTTGCAGCGCAGGGTGCTCCGGCTTCGGGAAGCTGGGTGTTGATGTCCAAGACGTTCGTGTGATGACGGCGGCGCAACGCCCTCTAGGTCCGGAAGGCTTGCTGCTTCCCTTGCGCCGCGTGGTGGTTCGCGGGATTCCGCACAAGGGTTCCCGGCTTGAGATGCAGGAGATGTCTGCGAAGGTCTGCCACTTCGTGGCCGGGAGGCATGCGGGTTCGATTCGTCCCGGAATCTCTGGCCTTGCTTCGACCCCTCAAGCCTGTTGTGTACATGCGCGCCGGAGCTTTCACATGCATGGCTTCCAGAAGCAGCCCCGTGCCAGATGCGCCGCCTCCCCGCAATCAGTGCGCAAGGTGATCAGGGCTCTGAAGTTCGGAGACACAGGTGGCTTTCGGTGTTAAGTGCCTGCGGCCTGCGCCTCTTGGAAGCACACCGCATGAGTGGAGGGATCCGTGGAAGCTCACCAGGAATCTGCATGGCGTAGGCGGTCTGCGAAGCTTGCGTGATTGGGAGCGTGGTAGATTGGAGCCAGCCTTGTTCTCAGGAGCTATTTTGAGGGTCGCGTTCCGAACATACAACTGCAGGCCCTTGAACGAGATTCCATATTCGCTCTAAGAGGATTTTCTTTGAATACTATTTTGAGACAGCCAGAAGCTGTCCAGTGTGCCCGCTACTCATGGCCGCGCTGGCCCGGATTGCGCGTTGGAGGGATGTGCTGCGGCTGACCGTTCGTTGCATTGGTCCAGGGCAGCACAGACCAGGAAAATAAGTCGCTCGTGACGTCTGGGCCCGCGCCCGAGGCCCATCAGAGTCGCTTTTTCAACATTTGGACCTCGAACTTGAGTCCCACTAACCTTTCTCCGTTTTCCGAGCCAGGGCAGTTAACAAAAGGCGGATAGGCCTACACTAAACCCTCAACCCTAAACCCTAAAGTCAAGTATTTCCGGCGGCCGCGCATGGAATGTCTGAGGTGTGTACATGTTCGTTCGCAGTCCCTCGCGTCATGGTGTTCCTGCCACTTCTTTCCCTCTCGACTACTGGCAGAAGCCAGTTGCCATGAGATTCTTACTGAGTGGACTCGTTGAGAGGAACGCACAGCTGCAGCCGGGCAGCAGCGACAGCGGTTGCTCACTGATCTGACGATGTCTAGCTACACTACCAGAGCTGATTGCAACTGCGAGATAGACACCGCGCATGTTTGCTGAAAGCATACACAAGAAGACATGAGCAGATGTTCCCAGCAACACATCCCAGCTTTGCAGACACTGTGACGAGCCGGTCATCATTGCGTTTCATTTCCGAAAGCTCGAACACAGGCCGATTCCAGACCGAGACCTTGTTTCCGCATCGGCCTGGCATTTCTGACCGAATTACGCTGCAGTTCCTCCGGCACATGTACCGCAGCAGATGAAAGGCGCAACAGAGCGAAAGTTTAGCCCGAGGCGTAGTTCAAGCATAGGCTCCGACTGACCTTGAGAGCGAGTCATGCGAGAAAGGTTGCTGAGAGGTTGAAAGATGGGCGTGTGGCATGTTCTGCCACTTGGTGGTGCAAAGCTTCGCCGGAGCCCCGTCAAAAGCCGCGCCAGAGGCTGTCGCGGCATTCCTTCGACTGTGTCCATTCCTTGAGAGTAGACTGAGTAGACTCTCTGTGCGAAGAGCGGTACTTTTCTTGGTTCAAGTAGCCCGCCCTACCCTCCTCTGCAGATTTCCATCCCTCCAGCGCTCCTCCGGGCGGCGGTCTCGCAACTCCCCAATTTCAAAGCAGCTTCATGTTCAGGGTCTAAGGGTTCAGGGCTCGGGTGCAACCGTTCGATTCTGTCCTTAGCTAGCAGGTCTCCTTGAGGCTATGAAGTTGGAGTGCTGTGACAAGACCCTTGCGGACTGCGCGGCTCTTCTGCGGACTGCGCGCATGCCTCTGAAAGTCTTTGCGGACCTCTCATCTCCCAGAGGCATGCATCCGGATTGTCGGTCTTTGGTCTGTGAGGTGCGTTTCGGGTTTAGGGTTTAGGGTTTAGGGTTTAGGGTCTAGGGCTTAGGGTTTGGGGTTTAGGGATGGTTGGGTAAAGTTCGCCTGCTCATTTTTGGCCCAAGTAGCCAAAGGGGGGGGGGGGGCGGCGGCCGGCCCAAGTGAGCGCAATCTTTTAGGGGCTTCTTGGTTCTTGGCGAAGTTTTCGTTTTGGGACCTCCCAGGTCGGATCCTCTGCAAGGACGGTTTAGGGTTTGGGGGGTTTAGGGGTTTTAGGGGTTTAGGGTGTAGGGTCTGCAGAGCACCGAAAGATGGATTCCCCGCCGTGGATGTGGATCTCATAGTAGGCTGAAGAGTCCCACGGGTGCATGGTCCGCAGCTGGGTGGCTTCGTACGCCCTTGTAGGGCCTGAGGGGTGTCGAGACAAGGTGACTAAGGATGGGATTTTGAATCTGTAGCTGTGGCCCTGCGAACCCCTTCGGAGGTCTATAGGAGTGAAAGAGGGGTCAGCTCCAAGCTGAACCCTAAACCCTAAACCCTAAACCCTCAACCCTAAACAGCCTGCAAGTGTCTCCTTAAAGCTCGCCATGCGACTCGCTACTTCGCACATGTAGGTTGTGGAGGTGCAGATGGGAGTCGACTCCCCCTCGTAGGCCGCCAGAATAAGGACGAGTTCGGGTTCTCGGTAGTTTGCCTGGCGGTCATAGTCGCCATCGTCAGTGCCACGACCCGTCCTCCTGGTCACGCGAAGCACTGCCAGTCTAAGGGCTTCCAAGATGTCAAGACAGAGCAGATTGCCAGACTTGTAAGTAGGCCCGGCGCCCGAAGTTTTGTGCGCAGCATCTTCGTCCCGTGTGCTCGACCCATCGGCCTCCCTTGCCATCACTTTGCCCTCACATCGCTTTCGCCACACCGCTTCTCGGAACACCACGCGCCCCGCCAGCATGTGATCTGTGCTTGTCTCTGCGTTTTGATCGCAGGGATGTGTGCAAGATGTTGCGAACATTCGGAGCCGTGGAAGTTAGCACTGAAAACCGATCCGAGGCCGTGCGCACATCTTGCGATGGACGTATAAACTGATGCCGCACAGGGCATGTCATGCGTGCCACAGCTTGTGTCATGGCAAGACGGTGTGTGGGCTCAGTCGCGAAGTTCTCAGCGCACCTCGAGCGAAATTGGCTTCTTCCGTGCTCAGCGTCGCAGGGGAAATTTCGGGCCGCTTCAAGCACGTCTCGCTGAGCCGGCTGAGCACCTTCTGCGCTCGCCAGCTGCAATTTGATGTATTCTGCACATTCCGCGTGGGGTGATGCCGAACGCACAGCATGCACAGCGCACTTGGTCAGCAGACACTGCAGCATTCAAGCTCAAGAAGCAGCGTGTGCAGCATGTGCAGCGTGTGCCCTCCGAAATCTCTCACTAGCCCAGAGGGCTGGTGGCATGCGTTAGCCGCCCAGCTGCTCACAGGGCACATGGAGGTGTGGCTGACAGCTGAGATCCCTTGACAATGTCGACAGGCCGTTGGCCTCTGAACTCCTCCAACACCCCCCAAAAGTAGAGGGCACGTGTCCAGAGGGAGGTGCCGTAGTCCCAACCATACTTCATCCCACAGGCTGCTTGCAGAATAGTGTCCCGTTTGTCTACAGGCAAGGTATCATAGTCTGACTGGAACTGGCAACACAAGCTAGACATCCCGGTGGCGGGTCGGGCTTTCCTGATCATCTTCATCACTGCAATCACCCGGGACCTGTGATCCCTTGTCCATCAAGACCAGCAAACCGAAAGGCTTGTCAGACATCAACGTGATAAACTCAGCGGCGGCAGAGGTCTTCGGATCTCGTGCGAGTATATGAGGTAACCTGACCAGGCCAGGCGCCAGAAGCCTTGTGCGCAGCATCTTCGTCCCGTGTGCTCGACCCGTCGACCTCCCTTGCCATCACTTTGCCCTCACATTGCTTTCGCCACACGGCTTCTCTGAACCAGCAAGAGCTGGCTCAACAGCCGCAGCCGTGGGCAGTTCCGGAAACACCACACGCCCTGCCAGCATGTGATTTGTGCTTGTCTCTGCGTTTTGATCGCAGAGATGTGTGCAAGATGTTACGAACATTCGGAGCCGTGCAAGTTAGCACTGTGAAAAACGACCCTCGGCCGTGCGCACATCTTGCGATGGACGTATGAACTGATGCCGCACAGGGCACGTCATGCGTGCCACAGCTTGTGTCATGCCAAGACAGTGTCTGGGCTCAGTCGCGAATTTCTCAGCGCACCTCAAGCGAAATTGGCTTCTTCCGTGCTCAGCGTCGCAGGGGAAATGTTGGGCCTCTACAGGCACTTCCCGCGGGGCCGAGCCGGCTGAGCACCTTCGGTGCTCGCCAGTGGCAATTTGATGTACTCTGCACATTCCGCGTGGTGTAATGCCGACCGCACACACGGAGATCACAGAGCACTTGGTCAGCAGACATTGCAGCATTCAAGCTCAAGAAGCAGCGTGCGCAGCATGTGCCGTGTGTGCCGTATTGTGCCGTCCGAAATCTCGCACTAGCCCAGAGGGCTGGTGGCATGCGTTAGCCGCCCAGCTGCTCACAGACCACATGGAGGTGTGGCTGACAGCTGAGATCCCTTGACAATGTCGAGAGGCCGTGGGCCTCTGAACGTCACGTGTCCAGCGGGAGGCGCCGTCCTCTCAACCATACTTCATCCTACAGGGTGCTTGCTGAACAGCGTCCCTTTTTTACCAACCTCGAGGTCGAGGTCAGCACCGTGAGCAGAGCACTGAAGTTCACCAGCCGGCCGAGCAGTCTGAGCATTTTCGCCACCATATGCATGACCGCGGCTCTTGTGTCTCAAAAGCGGAGTCTTGCAGACCCTGAGGTCTGAATGGAGTTCAACGTGCCCTTCTTTGCAGCGCTCCCTTCATTCGGCTGCACCGGTGAACTTGTCATGCCGCTGTAAGCGCATCGACTTCAGGCGGCTGTCAGTCAATTTTCGGAGCGACTTTCAGATCGTTGCTCCCGTCTGTTGACGCACCTGATGTTGTGGCGTGTGCTGTCTGCGAGTGGCTCGGGAGGCATGCCGAACCTTTAAGACTCTCACAGATTCCTTATTTCAAAAGCGAAGTTTTGGGTATGTGCCGGTTGCACGTGTCCCACTGCCTCTGGGCTTTTGGGACGTACACTTGAAGCTCTTGAAACCTTACCCCGGAACCTCTAGAATCCAAAAAGACTGCCTGGTCAGAAGGGGCTCCGCTCGTTGGGAAGGTGGGTTGCGCACAGGCTCAGCTGCTGAGACTGCTGCTGCTGCTGCGAGGAGGAGGAGGAGGAGGACAGAGGAGGAGGCATAACAGAGGCCGACCTACCTTTGACTACGTCCACCCATTGTCGATCTGAGGCTCAGAAATTTTGGCTTGAGTTGGCATTGCCCGTTTTCCGGAAATTTCGGGTTTAAGATGCCTCCTACCCCTCCCTCGATTCACAGTGCAGGACCAGAGTCAGAGATGTCGAGGGTTTTGTGTAAGTGGTGCTTCAGGATAATATACCCCCAAGCCTGAACCCTTGGGCGCATTGTTGAGCGCCGGTTTCGCGAAGCGCCCGTGGGATGCCCCGGAAATTCATGATCACGTGGTTATTGTGCCGAGAGCTTGCAATGACTGTGAATGATGGGTTTAGGAACGCTGTTTAGGGCTTAGGAAATCTAAGCCCTAAACCCTAAACCCCTTAAACTGCCTAGACCCTGCACTGTAGGGTTCGGAACCCATGGATCGCTGGAAGTCACTGCGGCTTCCTACCCGGCCTTGCTTCGGGCTCACCTGCCCAACGCTTCAGAACATCCCATGCTGGGGGCAAGCCTGAGATGATCTCCCCCTGAGACTACCCCCAAATCCCAAACCCGAAACTCCTAAACCCATCTGCAGCCGGGTTTAGGGTAAGTTGTGGTCCTAAGTCCCTAAACCCATCTGCAGCCGGGTTTAGGGTAAGTTGTGCGCCAGAGGACGAGTCATGATCAGCCCATTTTGTGCGCCTCTTTTGGTTCAGCTCTTTGCCACGCCCGTTGGGATTTAGGGCTTTAGGGTTCCGCCCGCCTAAGCCTTAAGGCCCGAGGCCATCTGGGCCCGAAACCCTGAACCTGAAACCCTCAACCTCAAGACGCCTCCAGAAGGCCATCCCCAGCAGTTCTGGCCAGATTCCCACCATGTCCCAATCAACCCAGAGAGTTTCAGCAAGGAGGTGTCTCCCTCCTTGAGGCATTCCGTCTATCTTCGGGACCCCCCAAAAAGGGCCCACACTTCAGAACCCTGTCAAGAAGGGTCCATTCATTCTGGCCCCAAAAGGGCCTATTCTTCAGAACCCGTTAAGGAAGGGACCAGATTAAGTGCCCATGAAATTACCCTCAGAATCTAGCTCACGTCAGCTTGCCGAGCTGCCCGTGCGCGACTCCTTCCGTGTTCTGTTGCCTCCAGGGCCTTGGAACATGGATTCCCAGCCTTGTGAGGTAACCTCCGCTTCCTTGCGGGAGCCTTGTGAAGCGCCTAAGCGTCCCAAAGCGTCTGTTCTTTTTTTCGGATAAGGTGGAGAGTGGAGGGATCGCCACTTTAAGAAGCTACCACTGGGTTTCTTTGTTTCAGCAAAGAAGGCAAGTTCGAGGGGGTGTAAGGGCGGACTTCACTTCAAGGGTAGTCTCGGGCCCACCACACGTGCTTGACCCGTGCACCTAGCTGCCGAGCTTGAGAGGTTCACGCCGTTCTTGAGAGCCACGCCGAGGGGGTCGGGTTCAGATATGCCCCTGTCTGGGGGTTTCCGAAGATAGGGGTACCCTTTTGGGGGTCCCTTTAAGGGGATTCTATTCTATTTGAGGTATCAACAGGGAAGTACCCATCTGTCTTGTGCAGGACATTCTGGGTTGGCAGGCCCAACACTCCGCAGATCCTTTTGTCAACTCTACAGAGCCCCCCCTAGTGCTAAGGTCCTGAGGCCGAAACGGCCAAAACTCGGCTTTTGGGGCGCCAAGTTGTCTTGGGGACCAGGCTGAGCTCCTTTAGCTTCCCCCTTTTAAGCCCTGAGCCCTAGACGGCTGTCTTGCTCCTCCTAGTCTAGTGTTTGCGATCCTTCCTGAGGATTTCGTTCGTTCTTTGCGGAAGCTCTGTGCAACTCTACAAATGGCATGGCCACAAGTCGCAGCAAGTGATAGTACTTACCCCATGCTCAACAGCAAAGCTTTCCCAACTCGTCACAAACTTAACACAAAGCCTTCGAGCCCAGAAGTAAATGTATTTAAGATTTGCTTTGGTCAGCTGGTACGAGGTTGCTCTCGCCGGCTCGTTGAAAGGGGTTGCCCCACGACTGCTGCAAAGGGCAAATGGACACCGGGCGCTGAACAGCAAAAGGGGGGTGCGCAGACTTTGCAAGGCCACAAGAACGAAGTATGACATGTCTCCGGAGTCATTTCATGAGGCATTTAAACTGATTTGAAGGCAGCCAAGAAGGCAGTGCCCGATCTCGGTAGTAATCCTGCACGCGCCGGGTGCACTGGGCAGCGGATGCCTTGAGCCAACCTCTCTCCTCCAGGCAAGGACCAAGGCTGGGAGGCTCAAGTTCACAGGGGGTTGTTCGAAGTCGGGTTTTTGCAAGGTTCCCAAGTAATCTTATAACCAGCTATAGCTACAGCTGCCCTACGTATACGCCGGGGCAGCACGTTCCTCCAAACAGTGGATCTCTGAGGGTAGGGCTTTTCATGCTCGAGCGCAGTGGCCGACTGTAGTCCCAGCGGCACAAGATGCTGGGTGGCCTTTTGAACTTGCTTGAGTAGACGAGGCACACGTGGGCTGTAAGGAGCCCTATAAGCCCGAAGCCCTAAGCCCTCAGTCAAGCGACTGCAGTATGACCGGTGCCTGCTTGATTCCCGCCGTCTGGCGTGCTTGCAGGCAAGTACCAGGACGCCCTGCAACCCATGCCGAGCCGTCGAGTTTCTGCAGAGGCCGCAGTGCGTTGATAGGTGTGCGCCCATAGCATGATCGGCTGCCAGAGCGAAAGCTGCGCCGCGCGGCCTATGGAGAGCCACCGTGGGGCAGTCGGAGCTCCCGTCGCCTTGCGATTGTGGCAGAGTGGCAAGGCGCTAGCCGCCAGGCACAGTTCGAGCTTCAAGCAGCCTCAACTTCTCAACGCCTCAACCCTAAACCCTGAACCCTGTCAACCTTGAACCGTTTCGGAAATGCGACACTGAGCCTTGACGCGCCCATCACATCCCACCATGTGCCCAGCGCACCTGGTCTTCCAGGCCGTCCTTTTAGACCTTGTAGTAGCCATAGAGCTGCACACAGCCAACTACCACAAGATGGTTCAAGGAACTCACAAGGCTCCTACGTCCTGCCACCCCTCCTCTCGCCCCGTTTAGTTTCCTCGTGTCACAAGGCATGGGGAGACGCCGGGTTGGGTACACGGTTTCATTTTGGTGTTTCGTGCTAGGCCCACGTATCATGGCCTAGGAAGCAAACCCCTCGACGCTACACCGAACCCCCATGCCCGAAACCCGAAACCCTAAACCCTAAAACCCGAAACCCGCTTGCCCCTAATTACATGGATGCCCCGGTCTGCGCAGCAGGTGCAGGGAGGGCATGTGGTCTTGCACTAGCACGGGGGTTCGCAAGGGCTTGCGGGTGAGAAACAGAGGGGTGGTCCGCTCTCCGCCTGGCACTTGGGAAGGTCCGTGAAGAGGAAGGGAGGAGCCCTCAAACGATGCCTCTTCAACATGCCTTATGGGCTTTGAATTTTGAAGCCAGCCCCGATGACCAGCCATGATGGGATGCTGGGCACCAGCTCGTGGGATAAAACTCCGGTGTGTTTGTGTTCTCCTCGCCTCTTGCCACAGCCGGTGACAAGAAGCTGCTCATTAACGGGTGTTGTCGCATCAGGATGATTTTGCCACGTGGCCCATGGCTATGCGGCTTGCGCTTCTGAAGTCTCCATATACCCCCATTTCGCTGCACCGCAGTGTCCCCTTGCTTGACATGAGTTCGATGGGTGAGCCCGGCGATCAGAGACTTGTGTCAAGATGTCGCGAGTTGCAAGCCTCCGTGCCTGGTTTAGGGTTTAGGGTTTAGGGTTTAGGGTTTAGGGTTTAGGGTTTAGGATGTGCTCCATTGTGACTCCACATGCCTTTGCGCACTTGCCGCGCCGCGGCAAGTTGCTTGTGCGAGGTCATCTAATGAATGTAATGCCGTTACATTGTACCCCCATCCATCTCCTTCACGCGTTCGCCACTCTTTTGCGTTGGCTTCCTTTTTGAGCAGAAGCCTCCCAGCGTGCGACAAGAGGGTTTCAGGCCTTTCAAACACACGCCTTTCAGGTTGCTTGCACCATCGGAGCTACAAAGGGCCAGGATGTTGCTGGGATGTCCGAGGCACTAAGAGGATTCTGACCTTGAGCTAACATCATGCGGCCGCTGCCACTCCAGTGATGCAGCGCTTGTCCGCGGTCCTTGATGGATCGTGGCGGCTTTCGCCGACATGCCCCACCCCAGGCATCGCAAGTCAGAGCACGTGCTGATGCCGTGAGCTGAGCCGTGAACCCGCACTGTGAACTGTGAGGCCAAGTCGAAAGACGGCGCTCGCAGCTTCTGCACCCTCAGGCTCTGTGATGGCCAATGATTCCCGGTACCTGGTGTCTGTGAGCCTCTGAGACACGAGGATTTGATGCGCAGGGGAAAAAAGCATTGATGAGCGAAATTTTAGAGCGATCGATGTTGTTCCCCGAATTGCACTTTCAACAGCCCTGTGACAGGGGCATACTCAGGAAGATAGCGATAACCGCATTGCGACTCTGATTGAAAGTAGCGAGCAGATGGGCGGCAGGATCCTATCATGACCATCCTGCATGCATCCTATCTGTACCGCTGCCGTGAGTGTTTTTTTTAGTCTTAAGTGGTAAGTGTCCTTAGGGTTTAGGGGTTTGGGGTTTAGGGTTTAGGGTTTAGGGTTTAGGGTAAGCCTTATGAAGCCTGCCCAGCTTGATGGGCAGCTCGTCGGTGTTTGTGGTGGTGTAGGCAGTCGTGCTCACAGAACTGTAGCCCTAAACCCTAGACCCTAGACCCTAAACCCTAAACCCTAAACCCTCAACCCTAAACCCTAACCCCTAAACCCTAAACCCTGAACCCCTAAACCCTGAACGCAAATCGGAAGATAGCGGAGGGTCCCGTGACTCCGGATTTAGACCAAAAAGCCCCCAAACAGAGAATCGGCGATTGTTTTAGAATCCCCACGAAGTTTCTCTTACCTGATGCCGCATGACAATGCTCATAGTACCATGTAAGTGTTTAGGGCTTAAGGGGTCAGTGATATTTCAGGGCCTTGGTTTCGGCTACTAGGAAGTGGGGGGCGCCGCTGCGCGCGTCTCTGCGCCCAAGTCCACAGAAAAACCCACCAAGAGAACCCGTCTTCGGCTCGCGCCCGGACCCTACTCCCTAAGCCCCAATGCCAAGATCCCAAAACCACCCTAAACCCTAAACCCTAAACCCTAAACCCTAAACCCTCAACCCTCAACCCTCAACCCTCAACCCTCAACCCTAAACCCTAAACCCTAAACCCTAAACCCCAAACCCTAAACCCTAAGCCCTAAACCCTAAGCCCTAAACCCAACAAGGCCACAACAAAACCCACCTCGGCATGCAGGCTCAGCAGGCAGGCCCTCTTGGTGTCACACCCCTTGCACGGCAAAGTCCTAAAAACCCTAAGCCTTACCCAAAGCCTAGGCCCGGGGTTTAGGGTTTAGGGTTTAGGGTTTAGGGTTTAGGGTTTAGGGTTCAGGGTTGAGGGTCCTAAAACCCTAAGCCTTACCCAAAGCCTGGGCCCAGAACCCTCCCCGCGGTTTTGTTGGGGAGGTTGAGGGTTTTGAAAGGCGGCCTAGCTCTGGAAGCCTGAACCGAGTGCTGCTGCATCTTCGGGTTGGGGTTGAGGGGTTTAGGGTTTAGGGTTTAGGGTTTAGGGTTTAGGGTTCAGGGTTGAGGGTTTAGGGGTTTCAGGGTTCAAGGGTTTCAGGGTAAGGGGTTTTAGGGTTTTTAGGGTTTAAGGGTTTCAGGGTTTCAGGGGCTAAGGGCTTAAGGGTTTAACTAAGGGCAGCCTCGCAGCCATGGGTGGCATCTGCTGCACCAGTGCTTCGTGGTCGGGTCCTTGGAGCTCCCTCAGGCGGTTCTCCTAGGGTTTAGGGTTCAGGGTTTAGGGTTTAGGGTTTAGGGTTTAGGGCTGCCCAGTACCATACCAGGGTGCACTAACTCCATGAACCCAAAATTCCGCTGACCAGCACCCTAAACCCTAACCCCTAACCTCTGGACCTAACCCCTGAACCCTAAACCCCTAAACCCCTAAACCCCTAAACCCCTAAACCCCTAAACCCCTAAACCCCTAAACCCCTAAACCCCTAAACCCCTAAACCCCTAAAAACCCCTAAACCCCTAAACCCCTAAACCCCTAACCCCTAAACCCCTAAACCCCTAAACCCCTAAACCCCTAAACCCCTAAACCCCTAAACCCCTAAACCCCTAAACCCCTAAACCCCTAAGCCCTAAACCCGAAACCCTAAACCCTAAACCCTAAATCCTTGGAGGATCTTCGTGGCTCGTGAGAAGTAGGGTTTAGGGTTCCGGGCGTATATAGGGTTCAGGGATTACGGTTTAGGGACCAGCTAGTATCTCGCCGTGAACCTCCGAGAGTCGGCTTAGCAAAACCCAAAACCCTTAACCTCGACCCCAAACCCCAAATCAAGGATGGGCCCCCTTGGGGTTTAGGGTTTCTGGTTTCGGGTTTAGGGTTTAGGGTTTTGGGTTTAGGGGGCTCGATGAGAGTGCTTCCTCTGTATGGGGTGCTCGTACCAAGCAAGGATTAGTGCAGATCAATCTCCATATCCTGCTCATTACAAGACGCTTCCCTAAACCCGGAACGAGAGAGTTAGGGACCAAACCGTTGGGATCGTTCTCATGGTTCTTTAAACCCGGCACGAAGAACACTGAAGTCTACAAGCCCTATCTGCCCCAAGCCCCAAGCCCCAAACCCTAAAAACCCAAACCCTAAACCCTAAACCCTAAGCCCTAAACCCTAAACACTAAACCCTAAGCCCTACACCCTAAACCCTAAACCCTACACCCTAGACCGCAATCCCCCTCTGAGGTTTCCTGGCGCGACGTACTCGGTGGTGAACTCTGAGGCACTGGTTCGTGGTGGGTATAAGTGGCTTAGGGTGAACTCTGAGGCACTGGTTCGTGGTGGGTATAATTGGCTTAGGGTGGGTTAAGGATGGCTTAGGGTTTCGGATTGTTAGGGTTCAGGGCCTAGGCTTTTGGACGGTTCAGCGTTCTGGGGTGCTCTCGCCCTTCTAATTTCAGATGTTACGCGTTACCCTAAACCCGAAAACCCAAAACCCTCAACTCCCAACAGCGATTGTGCAGATTGTGGTTGAGAGTGTCCATGGTCAACTCAGCGCCCCTTCGCCCAGTGCCCCTTCGCCCAGCGCGTGAACACCTCCGGGATGCGAACTTCGCAAAATGGGGGCGGGGGGGGTTTCGGGTTTGGGCTTGGGACTGAGGTTTAGGGCTTAGGGTTTAGGGCAACATCAGGGGGAAGGGGGGGGGGGGTCTTTCCTTTTGCGGGCCTCACGGGTCCCAAGAGAACGAAGAACGCGTGACATCATGCGCGATAGAAGTCGAAAGTCCAACACAGAAGCTCTTGGTTCCTGACTGCTGCCCTTTTGCCCCGTTGGGTCTGTGGGTTCGCGTGCAAAAAGGGACCAACCCCCAACAGGGTACCCTTTTATTGTGATGTTGTTATTGGGCTATGTGTGATGGGTGCACAGGAATGTGTAGTTACAAGCGATTCCACGCATTAACACTCTGAACCAGAAAACGAAAAAAAATGCTAAATTTCCTATTCAGCCGTGTTCCTAGGGGCCCCTTTGATTTGCTTTGTGGGTTCTTTTTGGCGTGGAAGACTCTGAAAGTGGTTCGCCGAAAGAAGACCTGTGCTCGCTGTGCTCACCATATTAGCCCTAAAGCCCTAGAACCCTAAAACCCGAAGACCCCAAGACCCTTGAAATTCGTATACTTAGTCTTAGGGTTTAGGGTTTAGGGTTTAGGGTTTGGGGTTTAGGATTTAGGGTTTAGGGTTTGGAGGAATGCCACACCAACCATCAAGTGGTTGCGGATTGTAGCCTCCTCAACCTGGAAAACGGCTCGCACCAAGTGGTCGTCATAGGGTTTAGGGTTTTGGGTCCAGGTGGTAGATTGGGGTCGCAATCCGGTTTACCTTTGGTGGCATAACCTCATCGTACCCTCAACCCTAAACCCTAAATCCCAAACCGTAAGCCCTAAGCCCGAAACTACCCTAGGTCAGCAAGTGGCCAGTTTGCAAGCCCCCGTAAATACTGAGACCGAAGCCAGAAGCGTCCTACTTCAGCCTCCAAACCATCTCGTAAGCTTCATGAAGGTTACGAAGCCCTAAACCCTATCCCTGAACGGAGAGCCCGAAACGTCAAACCCTGAACCCCAAAACCCTACACTTGAAGACCTGCAAGCCCGCGACTTAAAGCCTACTTGAGCCATTCCGTCTCACAATCCTAAACCCTGAAACCCTGAATCCTGGGTTTCGGGTTTAGGGTTCAAGGCTTGGGGTCTGAACCAAAGCCTGCAAAAAGGCCGTAAACCCTAAGCCCTAAACCCTAAGCCCTAAGCCCTAAACCCTAAACCCTAAACCCTAAACCCTAAACCCTAGACCCTAGACCCTAAACCCTAAACCCTAAACTCTAAACCCTAAACCCTAGACCCTAAAGGCCTCCGGACCGGTGCACAATCCCACAGATGGGCTGCCCGACTGGATGCTGTCCGCCCCCTTCGGGGTGCCGCAGGCCCCCAGGTTTGGGGTTTAGGGTTTAGGGTTAGGGTTTAGGGTTTAGGGTTTAGGGTTTAGGGTTTAGGGTTTAGGGTTCAGGGTTTAGGGTTTAGGGTTTAGGGTGGAGGGTTTAGGGTTTAGGGTTTCTGGTTTCGGGTTTAGGGTTCAGGGTGTAGGGATTAGGGCTTAGGGCTTGTAGGGCCTCTCTTGAACCTTCAGTTAGGATTTACGAGTTTAGGGGTTTAGGGTTTCGGGTTTGGGGTTTAGGGTTTAGGCTGGGCTTTCGAGGCCCCCTGACACCATTGAAGCTCTAAACCCTTTGACCCGGCTTGAAACCACTCTTTCGCGCTCCCCAAAACTCTGGGGTTTTGGGTTTAGGTCTTGGGGTTGAGGCTTCTAAGCCCGAAGCCTCGAACCCAAAGCCCAAAAACCCACAGCCCAAGCAGGGCCCCTGGTCTAGGTAGGGAATGAGGGATTTAGGGCCCTGTAAATACCCTTTAGGGGATTGTATAGGTATCCTCATTCACTCATTCCCTACTAAGAACCAGCCAGCAGGAGGTGCAGAATATCAACCCTCAACCCAAAACCCGAAACCCTGAACCCTAGGCCCAAAACCCTGAAACCTGAACCCTGAACCCTGAACCCTAAACCCTAAACCCTAAAACCTAAACCCTAAACCCTAAACCCTAAACCCTAAACCCTGACAGGAGGTGCAGGACATCATGCACGAGAAGGGGGAGAAGCTGACACTCTTCGACGTGTCCGGTCCGCCAGTCCGTCTACTCTGGATCGCCACCTTGTCCGGCTTGACCTTCGTTCTCAGACTGCCAGTTGAGTTTAGGGTTTGGGGTTTAGGGTTTAGGGTTTAGGGTTTAGGGCTTAGGGTTTAGGGTTTAGGGTTTAGGGCTTAGGGCTTAGGGGGCTTTCAGGCCTTAGAGTGTCAGGGTTTAGGGTTTTCGCGATGCAGGGCTTACGACCTTTGGGGTCTGCAGCTGGTTTAGGTTCAGGATTTCGGCTGGTTTCTTTGATCCTCCTGCTTGTGCTCCCCCCTGACTGTCCTGTAGTCGGTTGCCCCGAAAGTATAAACTGCACCTACACTTAGAATCAAAACCCCAATGTTTGGACTACCTAGCTTTGGCTCTTTGCCTCCTACACTGGGAGCTCTGCAGTCGATGGTGTGCCCAACCCCAAACCCCAAGCCCCAAGCCCGCAGCCCCAAACCCCAAACCCCAAAACCCTAAACCCCAAACCCTAAACCCTAAACCCTAAACCCTAAACCCCAAAGGATAGCATTCAAAAGCCCCAAGCTCCCAAGGCCTTGTCCGTTCCCTGGCTGGCATTTGCGTACACGCAGTGCGAGGGGGAGGGGACGGCGGTCTACTCTTCCTGGCTGTGGATCGCCTTCCTTCCGCACCTTGGCGCCAAGTTGTGGTTTGTAGGTTCCCTAAACCCTAAACCCTAAACCCTAAACCCTAAACCCGAAACTCTCAACCCTAAACCCTAAAGCCTAAACATTCCACCCTAAACCAAGGTTTGGTTGGGGTTCAGATAAAGCTCCGTTTCCTAAGCCCACAAACCTAAACTGAAGCCGCAAACCCTGGTGTCTGTTCCCCCCCCCCCAGCGCCATAAGCCCTACGATGTGTGGGTTAGGATTCAGGGTTTAGGTGCTTAGGGTTGGATGGGTGTCTCGGATTTAGGATGTGGGTTTGGAGGAAGCAGGGTTCGGGAGTCAGGCTTTTAGGCTCTTTCTGGGGCTGTTTGTTGAGAAAGGATGCTTTTGGTTTAGGGTTTAGGGTTTAGGGTTTAGGGTTTAGGGTTTAGGGGTAGGGTTTAGGGTTTAGGGTTTAGGGTTTTAACGGGGGGCTTAGGGTCTGTTGTACGAACGTGTCGGATCGCCAGGTACGCCTTGGTGATGATGGCCATCGAGTGGCGGTGCTTCATGTACACTGCAGTGCCGGTCCTTCAGTGGCTCAAGGCTCGCCAAACCCTAAGAACCCGAAGAACCCTAATCCTAAGAACCTTAAGAAACCCCAAGAATCCGAAGAAAACCCCAAGAGCCCTGCGAAGCCCCAGCCCTAAACTCTAAACCCCAAGAGCCCGAAACGTCAAGAAACCCGAACAACCCCAACCAGCCAAGAACCCTAAATCCTGAATTTGGCAGTGGCCCCAAACCCCCTTCATGCTCGATAACCCTTACGACCCTTAATATACCCCCACAAGACCCCCTAATCCACCCCCGCATACCTCTCAATACCAAGCGAAGGTTCTGCCGGTGCCCTGCAGCAAGAATCCGTCGCTGAGATTCTCCCTCGCCTGGCACCTGCCCATGGCATTCATGATGCAGATGGACTGCCAGCCCTGAACCCGAAAGACTAAACCCGAAACCCTAAACCCTAAACCCTAAACCCTAAACCCTAAACCCCAAACCCCAAACCTTAAACCCTTACGGGTTAGGGGGTTCAGGCGTGAAGGGGGGATTCTCCTCAGCCTGGTTCCTTACCTTAGGGTTTAGGGTTTAGGGTTTAGGGTTTAGGGTTTAGGGTTTAGGGTTTAGGGTCATGAAGCCACCCTAAGAGAAGAGGACATCATGACGCAGGGCCTCTTCTTGGCCACCACACTTCGCAGCTTCCGGTGCGAAGGCTCTCTGGGTTGGCGACGTAGGGTTTAGGGTTTAGGGTTTAGGGTTCAGGGTTTGGGGTTTAGGGTTTAGGGTTTAGGGTTTAGGGTTTAGAAGCAACCCGAAACCCGAAGCCCCTAAGCCCAAAAGCCAAAGTCCCCAGTCGATCTGAAACGCCATCGTCCTAAATCTCCCTGCCGTACGTCTGAAGCCCCAAGCCCTAATCCCTATAGACCCTAAACCCTGTTTCCCTAAACCCTGCCGGACTGTGCCTGGAGGCTTCGAGCACGTGCTGGATGCCTGGGAGCGCGTCTGGCATCAGTCTGTGCTGAGCTGGATCACGTGGGGAGCCAGCCTGAAGGTTCGGCCTCTGGGATAAGCTGAGGGTTTGGGGGGTTTAGGGTTTGGGGTTTAGGGTTTGGGGTTTAGGGTTTAGGGTTTGGGGTTTAGGGTTTGGGTCTTAGGGTTTGGGGTTTTGGGTCTGGGTGTAGAGGGTTTGGTTGGACTGGTAGGGTGCATCGTCTAGGACCTAGGGTTTAACCCCTGGTTCGGGCTTTCGGCTTTCACATCTATGGGAACCCTAAACTCTAAACCATAAACCCGAAACCCTAAACCCTAAACCCGAGCCCATCCTCTCTAAACAATCATGTCAAGCCTTCCTGGAATTCATCACAACACGGTTGGGATTGGGGTTTGGGTTTTGGGGTTTGGGGACTGGGTTTTGGGGTTTGGAGCTTGGGGTTTGCGGTTTTGGGTTTTGGGGGCAGGTTTTGCGCGTGTGATGATCGGGATGGGTGTAGTGTGTTGGTTCATTCGACATCATGAACGGCGCCCTTAAACCCTAAACCCTAACCCCTAAATCCCTAAGCCCTAAACCCCAAACCCTAAACCCTAACCCCGCTCAAAACCCAAACCCTAAAGGCCCCGGAGGGCGGCTCCAAACACTCCGGGAGAGCCCCAAAGGTTTAGGGTTTAGGGTTTAGGGTTTAGGGTTTAGGGTTTAGGGTTTAGGGTTTAAGGTTTAGGGCCGCCAGGTTATTGTGGTTGCCTGCTGGGCCATCCAGATCCTGCAGATGGTGCTCTACGCCGGTTATGCGCTTCCCACCCACTGCCACTGCCTCGACTTCCAGTGCAGGACCCCGACACCTTGTAGGCCCGAATTCCGGGGGCGCCTTCGAGCCCTTAAAACCCTAAACCCTAAACCCCAAACCCCAAACCCCAAACCCTAAATCCCAAACCCCAAACCCTAAACCCCAAACCCCAAACCCTAAACCCTAAACCCTAAACCCTAAACCCTAAACCCTAAACCCTAAACCCTAGGCCCTGAAGGAGCGAGAAGAAGGGCTACCCGGTGCTCTGCGGGCTGACCACCATCTGGCACGCGGACGCCCTGAAGGCCCTGGCAGTTCCGTTTCTTGGGACCCAAAACCACAAACCCTAAACCCTAAACCCTAGACCCTAAACCCCAAACCCTAAACCCTAAACCCTAAGCTCTAAACCCTAAACCGTAAACGCTAAACCCTAAACCATAAACCCTAAACCATAAACCCTAAACCATAAACCCTAAACCCCTGAACCCTAACCCGAAACCCTAAGCTCTCTAAGCCCTGCACCCTAAAGTCTTCAATCCCTAAACCCTAACGGTTTCTGGGATTTGGATAGAGGGTGGAGCTTTTTAGACTTCTCGTACCCAGGGGTATATTCGGGGACCTCCTTGTGGAACCCGAGACCCTAAACTCAAAACACCTTTTGAGTAGGGCGTTTAGGGTTTTGCGTTTCAGGGGGGGGTTTGAAGCGATGAACTCAAAACCGTATGTTTCAAGCCAAAGCTATAAACTCCACGCGCCCTAATCCCTACAAGCCCGATAAACCCTGTAAACCGTCAACCATGACCTCGATAGCCTTACACGCCCCATCAACCCTAAACCCTAAACCCTTTACCCTAAGCCCTGTAAACCCCCAAAAGACTAAGCCCTGTCCTAAAACCCTGGACCCTACAAGCCATATACCTTTCTAAATCTGCATGCCCTAAACCCTATAAGCCCTGAGCCCGAAACCCTAGAATAGCCGTAAACCCTCTCACGCCCTCAGCCCCCAAAACACCATAAACCTAAACCCCATAGCCCCAAACCCTAGACCTCCTACTCCCAAAGCCCAAAACCTCAGGGAAGCCCTTTAAAATTAGTAAGTAGGGTTTAGGGTTTAAGGTTTAGGGTTTAGGGTTTAGGATTTAGGGTTTAGGGTTTAGGGTTTAGGGTTCAGGGCTTAAGGACTGTAATAGGGAGTTCCAAGTAAGCCCATGCAGGCGCTGGCGGGGTCGAGCCGGATGCCGATGCTGCAAGCGGGGCAGCTTAAGCTGAGCCTGGCGCCTTGGTCCGTGTAGGGTTTAGGGGTTTAGGGGTTCTTAAGGGTTTAGGGTTTAGGGTTTAGGGTTTAGGGCTTCGGGTTTAGGGTTCAGGGTTTAGGGGTTTCGGGTTTCGGGTTTCGCGTTTAGGGGTTTCGGGTTTAGGGTTTGGGGCTTTAGGTTTATCTAGGTGTTGCGTTTAGGGCTTATGTCAGGATTCTGGGCATGTTGGGTTGAGGGGCCTTCGCGGTTTAGGGTTGAGGGTGACAGGGTGTAGAGGGAGAGTTGCCAAACTTCAAGTGGGCCGGCCCCCAAATCTAAACCCTCTAAATTCTCTAAACCCCCTAGCCCCCAAAACCCTCTAAACTCTCTGAGCCCTCTAAACCCCGTAAACTCTCTGAACGCTCTAAACCCTAAACCCTAAACCCCTAAACTCGTGAAGAGCTCGTGGGTCCAGAGCTTTGAGAGCTCAGAGAGCGGGCCTGTTTTTGGCTTCAGAGGGTTTAGGGTTTAGGGTGATTAGGGTTGAGGTTTAGGTTTGGGGGGTTTGCTGTGTTTCGGGTTGAGGAATTGGGGCGTTTTATGGCTGCGGCTTTCGGAATTCGGGCGAGAAGGGTTTAGGGTTTATGGTTTATGGGTTGGGTGGTAGCCCTAGAACCCCATTCCCAGGACGTTGAGGGTCCGGTTTGATAGATGGAACTCAAGTAGAGGGTCAACTTCTGACGCCCACAGCAGGGGCCGAGGCGAATAGGGGAGGGGTTAGACCCTAAACCCTAAACCCTAAACCCTCAACCCTCAACCCTAAACCCTAAACCCTAAACCCTAAACCCTAAACCCTAAACCCTCAACCCTAAACCCTAGACCCTAGACCCTAAACCCTAAACCCGAAACCCTAAACCCTAAACCCTAAACCCTAAACCCTAAGCCCTAAACCCTAAACCCTAAACCCTAAACCCGAAACCCGAAACCCTAAACCCTAAACCCGAAACCCCTGCGGGCGGGCTGTCGGGCGCAGCCCTGAAAACTCCCAAAGCTCTTAACCCTGAAGCCCTAAACCCTTAAAACGCTTCGTGCCCCAAACCCTGAACCCACAATTTCTGCACCCCTTCCTGGAGGTTCATGGGTACGTACAACCTAGTTGCACTGATAAGCTCCCTGCGTCCCCTAAGTAGTACAGTTATGCTTGGGGTCATAAGCACCCATGAACCTCCAAGTACGCCCTTAACCCTGAAACCCTGAAACCCTGAAACCCTGAAACCCCAAACCCTAAACCCTGAAACCCTAAACCCTTCAGAACCCCAGGAGCGAGCCAAGAAAGAGCTGCACGGCGCGGTGCCGAACTACGTGCGGTACCTGCAAGTGCTGAGCCTCCTTTGGGTGTAGGGTTTAGGGTTTGGGGTTTAGATTTTAGGGTTTAGGGTTTAGGGTTTAGAGTTTGGGGTTTAGGGTTCAGGGTTCAGGCGTGCTGGTTTTAGGGTTTAGGGTTGAGGCTTTAAAGACCCCAAAGCAGAGCTCGGAAGTGTGGCAGACAGTGCTCCTGCCGTTTGATCCTGTGGAGTGCCCAACAATCCGAGGACACAAGAGTTGAACCCGAAGCCCTAGACCCAAAACCCTCGGCCCACAGCCCCAGTTCCTGAAAAAGAGACCCCTGAACCCTGAAACCTGATCCTTGAACCCGAAACCTGAAAGCCGAAACCCTAAACCCTAAACCCTAAACCCTAAACCCTAAACCCTCAACCCTAAACCCTAAGCCCAGGAAGATGGAATTGCGCCACCTCCTCTTGCGCCTCCTCCTGGTCTGCTGCTTTGTCAACTGCACCAAGTTGGAGGTGCCGGGGGGTTGGGGGGGGAACCCTCAACCCTAAACCCTCAACCCTAAACCCTAAACCCTAAACCCTAAACCCTAAACCCTAAACCCTAAACCCTTCAGGGCTTGTCCCAAGCAGTGCAGTGCTGAGCTTTGGGAGGGTTCTTGGAGGATCGCGAGATCAAGAAGACATGATCTAGTAGGGTTCAGGGTTTTAAGGCTTTTAACTAGGATGATCCCCAATTTCGGGAACCCAGACATACCAAGTAACGCTCCAAACTTCGAGTTCAGGGTTGCGCGCAGCGCCTTCCTCAAGTGTCTATGGCTTCAGAGCTTTGGGGCTTGGGTTTAGGGTTTAGGGTTTAGGGTTTAGGGTTTAGGGTTTAGGGTTTAGGGTTTAGGGTTTAGGGTTTAGGGTTGTGATACCTGAACCCATCAGGTTCAGACCACCTTCTTCGCCCTGAGCCGCATGGAGGACGGCCTAAGCCCAAACCCTAAACCCTAAACCCTAAACCCTAAACCCTAAACCCTAAACCCTAAACCCCAAGACCCAAACCCGCCCTGAAGCCCCTAAGCCCTAACTCCTGAAGCCCAAAACCCTAGAACCCCAAAGCCCCAAAGCCCCAAAGCCCCAAAGCCCCAAAACCCCCAAAACCCCAAAACCCCAAAACCCCAAAACCCCAAAACCCCAAAACCCCAAAACCCCAAAACCCAAAACCCCTAGGCCCTTACCCCTGAAGCCTCGGCCTTAAATCTTTGAATTTTCAACCCTGAACCGTCAACGCTGAAACCGTAGAAACAAAGTACAGTACCTCCCTGAAAGGAGAGGCGCGGACGGGCCTTCACCTGCACCACTCTACACTCAACCCCCAAACCCCAAGTCCTAACCCCAACACCTTAAACCCTGACACCTAAACCCTACTTAAACCCCCGACCCCGAAAACCCTAAACCCCTAAACCCCTAAACCCCTAAACCCCTAAACCCCTAAACCCCTAAACCCCTAAACCCCTAAACCCCTAAACCCCTAAACCCCTAAACCCCTAAACCCTAAACCCTAAACCCTAAACCCCCCAAACCTCAAGAAGGACGCGCACGAGCAGTCGGCGTTGCACCTGCGCCACACGGAGCAACTCCTGAGCATCGCGGTGGCCCACTGCACCTCTTTCGTCGCGCTGAATCCTGCCGGCGGATGAGGGTTTAGCGTTTAGGGTTTGGGGTGTAGGGTTTGGGGTTTAGGGTTTAGGGTTTGGGGTTTGGGGTTTGTGGTTTAGGGTTTGGGGTTTGTGGTTTAGGGTTTGGGGTTTAGGGTTTAGGGTTTGGGGTTTGGGGTTTAGGGTTTAGGGTTTGGGGTTTGGGGTTTGGGGTTGGGGCTTGGGGTTTGGGGTTTGGGGTTTGTGGTTTAGGGTTTGGGGTTGGGGCTTGGGGCTTGCGGCTTGGGGCCTGGGGTCTGGTCGATGTGAAGTGGGCTCCATCTGGATACCAGTGAGACTGTAAAGGGTGTTTTTATTAGAGAGTTTGTAGGGCTTGCGGTCGGGCTTAGGTGTAGTGTATGGTCCAGGAAGCCAAAGGCAACCCTGAGCCCTGTACTGTTTAGGTTTCGAAGGTGTAGAGTCGGACAAGAGCCAGGGTTTTGCTGGTTTCAGGGGCTTCGGCGGATGTTGGGTTTGGGGCTTTAGGGCTTAGAGGGTTTTGGGGGGGCTTTGGTACGGTTTTCTCTTTCGATTACTTTGGGGCGGGGGGCTTTGGGGCTTTGGGGGATCTAGGGCTTAGTTAGACGCCTCCCCAAACGTGGAAGCACTGAAAGCTTTCGGGCCAAGCCCCCCCCTAAACCCTAAACCCTAAACCCTAAACCCTAAACCCTAAACCCTAAACCCTAAACCCTAAACCCTAAGCCCTAAGCCCATAGCCTCTAAACCCTAAACCCTAATTAAATCCTAAACCCCAAACCCCAAACCCCAAACCCCAAACCCCAAACCCTAAACCCTAAACCCCAAACCCTAAACCCTAAACCCTAGACCCTAAACTATAAACCTTAACCCTGAACCTTGAACCCGCCTTAAACACCCTACACCCAGGAACGACATCTGTTGGGGCGCCAGGGCCCTGTGGGATGCGGTTAAGGAGCCGGCAGGCAAGCTGAACGATCCTTGGGGGCACGTGAGTTTAGGGGGTTCAGGGCCCTAAATCCCTAAACCCCTAAACCCCGAAATCCCTAAACCCCTAAACCCCTAAACCCCTAAACCCCCTAAACCCCTAAACCCCTAAACCCCCTAAACCCCGAAACCCCGAAACCCCGAAACCCCTAAACCCCTAAACCCCTAAACCCCTAAACCCCTAAACCCTTGAACCCCAAACCCCGAAGCCTCTAAACCCCTAAGCCCCAAAACCCTAAACCCTAAACTTTTGTTCTTCAGGTTTAGGGTTTTGCGTTAAGTGATTTCGGGGTTTTGGGGGCCTGCGCTTTGTCGGCTTTTTAAGGCCGGGGCAAAAAGATCTTCCTGACTACTGCTAAGCAGAAAAGGTTTAGGGTTTAGGGTCTCGGTTTCGGGTTTCGGGTTTAGGGTTCAGGGTTCAGGGTTTAGGGTTCCCTAAAGGGCACTTAAAGCAGTGAAGCCCCAAACCCCAGACTTGCCCTAAACCCTAAACCCCCAAAATCCTTGCTGCGCCCCTTCTACGTCGGGCGCGGATCTGCGTACCTCAGCTGGGAAGTGTACATGGCCCTGTCGGTTTGTTCCTTTTATGCACGGTTGCATGGGCTGTCGGCCTTCGATCGGTAACTGGGCCAACTGAGCATTGCCGGTGGAGATACCCCCTAGGGTTTAGGGTTTAGGGTTTAGGGTTTGGGTTTAGGGTTTAGGGTTTAGGGTTTAGGGTTTAGGGTTTAGGGTTTAGGGTTTAGGGTTTAGGGTTTAGGGTTTAGGGTTTAGGGTTTAGGGTTTAGGGTTTAGGGTTTAGGGTTTAGGCCAACCAGCGCACAACTTTGCACAGAACCTGTGCAACTGGACTGAGGAAGTCTCAAAGGAAGAATTTGACCAACAGTCCTTAATAGGGATTACACTAGGGGGTACTATAATCCCTATTAAGGACTGTTAGAAAAAGGGGGAACATCCCAATGCATAGGGTGTGAGTGGAGGTCCTGTGCGTGTTACCCATGAAACTCAAAGTAGTACACCCTGATGGCGAAGCAGTCGCGGTGTCCGTGCTGCAGCTGATGCTGATGTTCTTGCGTCCGAAAAGAGGTCCTGCCCAGGCTGCGCACAATAGTTTTGGGGGGAACAACCCAAGGGCCCGAACCCTGCAAACCCTGAACCCTAAACCTTGAGGGTTTTCGTACCAGATGCTTCGGAAAACAGATCAGCATTAGGGCGCGTGGGCGTTTTCACTGTTTCTTTATTTCTATGTTGTATTTCTTTTTGGGGGGCGGAGGAACGGCGACAACACAAGCTTGAACAGCAAGCCAGCAAGCCCTGAACCGGCACAGCAAGCCGTCCAGCCTGCATCCTAAGCCTGAAGGCCTAAAGCCCTAAACCCTCAACCCCAAAACCCTCGGCCCTTGGTTGTTGGAGTTTGTGGCTTAGTTGGGTTTTTTGCACTTAAACCCAACAGAGCTCCGGACGAAGGATTCCCCAAACGATGGGCCCTTGTTTGGGAACCCTTGTAAAACATGCAAGATTCAAACATCCAAGAGAGCCTTCTCCAGACGACAAGGACGATGACAGTGCGAAGGAGTCGTGGGAGATTCGCTGCCTCCTCGGTGTGGCCATCTCCGTCGCCGTCCTCTGCGGCCTGATTCAGGCGCACGGCCTGGCAAAGTTGGTCGCGGCCTTCGTGTGCCAAGACTCCGTGTGGAACTTCCCGAACAAGTGCGTTCAGGTTCACTGATAATTCGTTCTAGTTGGAGGTTCACGGGCAGCTATGAGTAGGGCATATATATATATATATATATACACAAAGTATAATATATATATATATACACATGTCTACATATATATATATATATATATATGTATATATGTGTGTGTGTGTGTATGTATATAACCACACCCGCGCTTTAATTCGTCTTCTGATCAGGTCCCCTCCCTACGTATAGCCCTATTTGTAGCTACCCAAGAACTGTCGATCTAGCTCCGCAATGTATGGCACAAGAAACCGTTGTGCCTCATGAGGCTTGTGGACAGTTCGTGCACGAATTGGAAGCTTAAGTTCTGAGCTATCCCTGTGCACATGTGTGCCCTAAGGGCATCAACTGTTCTGCGGCCTAGGAAAATTCGACTGAGGGTTTGTGATTTGAGTTGATGGGAGTTCCAGCACGAGCTTGGGCTTCGGGAGCCTTTCAGCCTACACCCGAATCCCTAAACCCCTAAACCCCTAAACCCGACACCCAAAGCCCGTAAACCCGGCGTGTTGAACCTGTGGCCAGGTTGATGCGTGCTCTAACCCCGAAACCCCAATCCCAAACCCGTGCTTTTGGCTCAGAACGCAACAAACTTATTCCTGGCAAGGACAAGTCCCACAGCCCCTTAGGGTTTCGGGGTTTAGGTGGGGAGCTTGTTCACTTCCGAACCCTCTACCATGAGCCACGGCGGGGTTGAGGCTTTAGTCTAGCTCCGGAGGCTTGAACTAAGGATTCGGGTTTGGGGTTTAGGGTTTAGGGTTTAGGGTTTAGGGTTTAGGCTTTCGGGCACACGACCCAGACAGCATCTCGGGTTCCTTTGTTGCGCTGCCCGTGCGAAATGGATGCGGCGGAGGCCTTCAAGGACTTCGAAAGCCGCCAGGACGCCCTTTTGAGTCGTAGCCCTAAACCCTAAACCCTAAACCCTAAACCCTAAACCCCTAAACCCTAAACCCTAAACCCTAAACCCTAAACCCTAAACCCTAAACCCTAAACCCTGAACCCTGAACCCTAAGCCCCAAACCCTAAGCCCCAAACCCTGAACCCCAATACTCCCAGACCCTACGATACCCCAACGTCCTAAACCCAAACCCTGAAAGTCCCAATGCCCAAAGCACTATGCAGAGAACGCACCCCCCCCCCCCGCCTAAACCCTAAGCCCTAAACCCTAAACCCTGAAAGCCCCAGATTTTGAACCACACCACTGGCGCCTGTCCTAATTACAACCCATGCCCTGGAGTGCAAGTTCGGCTGAGTTGAGGGTGCTTCTTGGGGTAAAAGGATATAAAGATCCAGGTTTGAAGGTTTCCCTCAACCCTCAACCCTAAACCCTAAACCCTAAACCCTGAACCCTAAACCCTAAACCCTAAACCCTAAATACGAGATAGGGTTGCCCAAAAGTCTGATAAAGAGGAGAGGGACCCGTGCTCTACGGCCCTAAACCCCGAAACCCTCTGCAGCTCCAAAAGCCTAAACCCTAAACCCTAAACCCTAAACCCTAAACCCTAAACCCTAAACCCTAAACCCTAAACCCTTAACCCCAAACCCTAAACCCTCAGCCCCTCGAAGATGCAGGAAGGTGCCTTGGAGCGGCAAGCGCCCTTCGGCCGGTAGGGTTTAGGGTTTAGGGTTTAGGCTTTAGGGTTTAGCGTTTAGGGTGTAGGGTTTAGGGTTTGGGGTTTACGGTTTGGGGTTTTGGAGTTGTGGTTTCAGGGTCTCAGTGAATCAGGCAGCTGGGAGTTCCAGGGGGCGCGAGGGAGGTGTGATTTTGGAACACTTGGGGCTCTCTGAAACTAAGGGTTTAGGGTTTAGGGTTTAGGGTTTAGGTTCCAAAACCCCACACCCTAAACCCGAAACTTGGGTTTGGGTCGGGCCCTTAATCGACCGTGAACCTACTTGTAGTCTCATGGGTTGCAAGAACTCGGGTTATGGGCAGGGTCACTCTGATTCCAGCTTCTCACGAGTCATGATCTTACTTGGGGTCCATGAGCCTCAGGCAAGTCCCTAAACCTTAAACCCCTGAACCCCTAAACCCCTAAACCCTAGACTCGACCCTAAACCCTAAACCCTAAAACCTAAACCCTAAACCCTAAACCCTAAACCCTAAACCCTAAACCCTAAACCCTAAACCCTAAACCCTCAACCAAGGGAAAGCGGGCTCCTGAAGTGCCGATCGGGCTGGGTCTCCGAGTGGTTCGTGATCTCGCCAGAGTGCTTTGTCGGAACAGGGCGCGTGGGCTGCAAAAGCCCTCTAAGGGGTTCCGGAGGGTCTACGTAGGGGTTTAGGGTTTATTGGGGTTTAGGGCGCTTTAGACGCCCGCAAGAGCCTGAGCCCTACATCAAGCCAATTCGGGGTTTAGGGCCCAACCCCTTCAATCCTTGAAGGTTTTTTGGGTTTAGTAGTTTTTCCTCATTTTTTTTTCGGATTTAGGGTTTAGGGTTCAGGGTTTGTGTTTTCAGGGTTTTGGGACCCCTACGCAGCAGACTCCTAAACCCCCTAAGCCCCAAATCTGTGTGCGGACCGTAAGCATTGATCCCTGTCTCGCCCCCCGAGAAGTAGCCACCAACAGCCCTAAACCTTAAACCCGTCAACCCTTAACCCGAAACCCCAAACCCTAAACCCTACTAAATCCTAAGCCCTAAACACTCTCCTAAACCCTAAAACCTAAATCCCTATACCCTCCCAAACCCCAAGCCCTGTTTTCTGGGCTTCTGGGCTTTGGCTTGTTTGTCTCTGGTTTAGGATTTGGCATTTAGGGTTTGGGGTTTAGGGTTTACTGTAGGGTTTGGTGTTTTTGGAGTGTGGGTTTTAGGGTTTGGGGTTTGGGGTTTGCGGGTTCTTGGGCCCGCGGTTTGGGATTGGGGGTTTCCTGTACGAAGCTCCTCCTGCGGGTTTTACAGCATCAGTCATGCGACGGGTGATCATGTTGGCCCCCGAACTTTGAGATCCTGAACCAAACCCGACACCCCCAAACCCTAAACCCTAACCCTGAACCCTAAACTCGAAACCCTAAACCCGAAACCCTAAACCCTAAACCCTAAGCCCTAAACCCTAAACCCTAAACCCTGGACCCTAGACCCTGCGGTTGCAAGGCCTGGCCCGATGACGAATTGTTTCGGCTTCCTTCCTGTTGTGAGGTTTGGGATTTAGGGTTTAGGATTTAGGGTTTAGGGTTTAGGGTTTAGGGTTTAGGATTTAGGGTTTAGGATTTAGGGTTTAGGATTTAGGGTTTAGGGTTTAGGGTTTAGGGTTTGGGGCGAGGAGGGAGTTCGAGCGAGTGATTGGTGTCGTTTAGAGCTTTTCGGGTTTAAAGAATCTGGGGTTTAGGGTGTTGCCTTTCGGGTTTAGGGAACCTCTGCCTGGAGCACTTCCCCCGATCTGCAATCTCCGCGCCCTGAAGTTACGCCTAGAACCGCGTTACGCCCCGAAATCCTAAACTTAAACCTGACACCCCAACAACCCTCCCCACCTCCACCCTCCCAAAACCCTAAAGCCCAAAACCCCAAAACCTCTCAACCTCTAAGACCCCTAAACTGCGCAATCAAACCCCTGAGCTGCCCAAACTCCCGAAGTCTGAAACCCTCTGGGTTTAGGGTTTAGGGTTTAGGGTTCCGAAGCCCGTGACAGAAGAGATCCCACCCCCAGATACCTGGTGGGCTTTTCTTCGCGCACCAGCTCCCACGTTTCACTTTGTGCCTGGGCCTAAACCCAGAACCCCCCCAAGAAACCCCCAACAGCCTAAACCCCTGAACCCAAAACCCTAAACCTTAAGCCCTGAACCCTAAACCCTAAACCCTAAACCCTAAACCCTAAACCCTAAACCCTGAACCCTGAACCCTGAACCCTGAACCCTGAACCTTGAACCCTAAACCCTAAACCCTAAACCCTAATTGATTTTTGGCCCTCAAGCACGCAAGCCCAGGATGGAGGGGCTTCGGGGCTTGACATGACGAACTCATGCCATGCAGCGCTGTGGGTTTAGGGTTTAGGGTTTAGGGTTTAGGGTTTAGGCTTTAGGGTTTAGGGTTTAGGGTTTAGGAAGCACCGTTGTTCGCGAAGAAGCTTCCCGACCTGTGGGCCAAACGCAGCACTAGCATCCCGAATGAAGAGACGGAGCTCGTGCTTCCAACTAAAAAGTTCTCCATGGCCCGAAGGCTCGTCCCCTTTGTATATATATATATAAATATGTATATATGCATACATATATGTATATATATATATGTATATATATATATATATATCTACATTGCATCGACGAATCTCTCTGCTCTCTGTCTCTCGCTGGCTTTCGGAATGCTGTAGTCATGGATCTGCCGCAAGGCATATGCCTCACTGCCATCACGGCGGTTGAAGAGGAGGACAAGGCCGGCTGAAGACGGCTTTTCAGGCGACTATCGGCATCATAGGTGTCAGTCAGGGGGCTCTGTCTTGTTTCCTAGAAACCAGGGGGTGTAAGGGTGGAGCACGTAGGGAGATGTAAGCCCTTATTAGGGCCATAGGCCCCTCCTTTCCAGCCCCGCAGCTCCCTGTGATTGAGGTCAGGGACTTGCGTGTAGAGTTTATTTGGGAGGTCGGGAGGGGCCCAGCCTAGAGGTCAACAATATCGACAGCACATAGAATTCTTTGAATAACAACAGTAACATCGAGAATGCAATGCAATTACAAACGCAAAATACAAACCTACAGAAATACAAGTATTCATGCTCATACCAAGAAGAAGAAAACATGAGCGGAATAATAGCAACAAACCAGCGACAAACTGGTGCTTCTGATCCGCACCCCATGACCTCTTGGGGCCCCCTTAGACATGCAAAAGTCACGGCAAACGCAGTGTTCCGTGCGTTTTTTTTAGGCGATTCGCCGTTCGCCACGAAGATGCGCGTCATTTGGAGTGAGTGGCTCGTGGTTCTAAATTCTAGGTAGTCAGTGAAGGGTGGCCGATGCACCCAAAAAGCCCTAAGCCGCCGCAGGATAGCGTGAGAAAGCAGCACAAGAAACACATGTAAACAATGAAGCTTTGCCATGGGGATCCTGGAGTTTTACTATGTTGGTTCCCAGGCGGGTCTGCGCGGCCGTCACGTGATGGACCACGGGATAGGAGTGCCAGCAAAAACATAGCCAAAAAGGGGTTAAGGGCCATTTCGCGGGTTCACGCGGTTAACGGCTCTGTTACAACAAAACGGCATGAGGGCGCTCGCGGGGAAGTGCCGTCGAAGACCCCATTGGAAAAGGGGATGATCAAGCAAAGGCATCGCCTAAGCACAAGCCACGGTCAGTATTGCACCCCAGCTTCTTCAACAGCCCTCCTCTGGAGTGATCGCCAGGATTTTTCACCTTTTTGGGGCGTTCCTATACTAAAAAGACTATACCAAAAAGACTATACTAAAAAGACTATAGTAGAGTAGGGTTAGCCAAATTTTGGGAATGCTCCTCAAGGCAGAAGAGGGCCAAGATGTGACTTTCCATCAGCACCCCTCGACCTAAAAATGCCTAAACACACCTTGATTACACGCAAGGCTGTAGGGGTTCAGGGTTTAGGGTTCAGGGATTAGAGTTTAGGGTTCAGGGTGCAGGGTTCAGGGCTGAACCCAACACCAAAAGCCCACAAGCGATGACACGTCAGAAGCCACGTTCGAGAATAATTGGGTGTTGAAATGAGGCAGTTTCAGTTCCCCATGGAAGTTCCAAGCTCAGAGCAGCCGCGTGGCTCTCAGGTTGTACGGGTATCCCGTTTTGTGGCTGGATGTTGTCAAGCTTGCCCTCCGGCTGCTCAAGCATCGCGCCTGCCGCGAGTCTTGGGCGTTCTGGCGTTCTGTGCCGCGAGAGGCCTGCCGGCGCTGCAGCTGCATCTTTTTGTTTAGGACACCGTGGGGGCCAGCTCCTCGCACGTGGCAGAAATGGCCGCAGGTCGCGTTGCCGTGCTGGGGCGGGTGCTCTTCCGGCACTTGCACCGCTTGGAAGAGGGATGCACGTCGCTTGGTCGGCGTGCCGTGTTTGCCTCGGCATCACCAGCATTGGGGTGATGGCCCTGCTGAGCCGTATCCTTGTTGGGCAGTATGGCCCTGTCCTGAAGCACCGCAAGCGTTTGCCAAAGCTAGATCTGGGAGGTCCCATCATCGGCCAGAGTCACAAAGTCCTGAAGTACGGCTGGAGTGGGGGTGGTAACAGCTGGCTGCGCCAGATGCAGGCTAAGAACGGCCCAGCCTACGTCTTCAACCTCCTCTTTGTAAACCGGGTGGCCGTGGACTATCCCTTGTACGAACAGTACATGCAGGACCTGAGACCTACATCCTGAAAGCCTATTGAGTTTTATAAACTCAAGCCTCAAACCCTTTGCTTTGACATTCTAAACCTCACGCCCTAAACCCTATGAATGCAAGCTGCAAGCCTTTAGACTTCAAACCCCACATATCCTGAACCCAAGCCGCCGTTGTGTGAGCCGCAGGAGATGGAGCGATCGGGAAAGCTCCGCCCGCTTTTCTCCAAATCCATGGAGCGGCTCTTGGGCAAGAGCTCCATGCTGCTAGAGGTGATTTTGGGAAGGTCTTGTGTGAGGTTGAGGTGTTTTTTTCAATACTCTTGTATGTGTTAGGGCTTTTTGTGTGTCCCAAACGGCTTTGTCTGCACCGGTTTTCCCTTAGAGCGAGGCTCACCCTACCTGGCGGCCGCGGAGGCAGCTTGCACGCCAAGCTGCGGCAGAAGGTGGCGCCAGCGCTGTCGCAGCAGCAGCTGCTGCTGCTTGTGCCACAGATTCAGGGCTTGTGCCGGCAAGTGCTGGAGGAGATGGCGGAGGAGAGTGCCAAAGAGGGGGCAACCTCGCTGGTGCCCCGCACGAACCGCCTCACTCAAAGCGTGGCCGCTGCCTCCCTGCTGGGCGCCTTGGCAGCCCCCAACCTGCCGTACCTTTCGCGGCTGAGCGACCTGCTGGATGAGGTCATCGCGGGCCTCTTCACGGTTCCCGTGGAGAAGTCTTTCGGCAAGCTCACCCCCTTCGGCCGCGCTGTGCAGGCGAAGCGCCAGGCCTCCGAGCTGATCGATGAGATGATGGACGAGGCCCGGCGCCGGCAAGCCGGCGCCGGCGCCGAGGATTCCGATCCTTCCCAGCAGGGCCCGGAGGCCCCTGGGGACGTCCTGGCGCGCCTGGCGCAAGACACCCAGGAGGGCGAAGCGCTGAGCCCTGCGGAGGTGCAAGACACGGTGCTGACCGTGGGCTTCGCCGGCAAGGTGACCGCGGCTGCCGCGTTGCCCGTGGCCGTGGCGGAGCTGGCCCGGCGGCCGCTTTGGCGCGAGGCGCTGGCGAAGGACGCGAAGGATGCTCAACTTGGAGGAGGTATCCCCCCACATTCATTAAGGTTCTACCCGTTTAAAGCTACTACATAGTTACATACCCTTCGGATGTCCGAGCTGTAACTCTTCCTGATTTTTCTCGAAGGCTTCGAGAGCATCGAGAAAGCGCGGCCCACCCTGCAGTTCATCCGGGAAAGCATGCGCCTGGCTCCCCCGGCTGCGGCCTTCTACCGGGCGTCCGAGGACTGGATCGAGCTTGGCGAGCATGGCGCCGTGCCGCCGGGCATGCCCGTCGCATGGCAAGAAATCCGAAACTCGAAACCCTAAATTCAGAACCTAAACCATCCTACTAAGTCCAAATAGTGAACAACCCTAAACCCCAAACCCTAAACCCTAAACCCTAAACCGGAACGCGACTTAAGCATGCTGGCCCACAGAATAAAGATCCCTCTGGCATCCGTCGGTCTCGCCATGGCTCGCCGCTAAGCCGAAACCTCCCCGAAAGCCAACCCTAAACCCTAAACCCTAAACCCTAAACCCTAAACCCTAAACCCTAAACCCTAAACCCTAAACCCTAAAGCCCCTACTCCCTCCAAACACGACTCACAACCCCCAAGCTCCTAAACCTCTCACCCTAAGCCTCTAACCCTAAACCCGAAATCCTAAACCTTAAGCCCTAGACCCTAATCCCTAAACCCCAAACCCTAAACCCTAAACCCTACTCCCTCCAAGCCCGGTTCACAGCCCCTAAGCCCCTAAACCTCAGCCCTAAACCCGAAACCCGAAACCCGAAACCCTAAACCCCAAACCCTAAACCCGAAACCCAAAACCCAAAACCCTAAACCCTACCTAACAGACCCGACTCTTGCACAAGGTTGCCGTTTGCATGGACTACCCGGGTGCCGGCCTGGATGGCGAGGCCGCGGAGTTCAAGCCCGAGCGGTGGACGGAGGAGTTCGCACGGAAGCACTTCATCTACTTTGGTGGCCTGTCGGGTTTGTAGGGTTTAGGGCTTAGGGTTTAGGGTTTAGGGTTTAGGGTTTAGGGTTTAGGGTTTAGGGTGAGTTTATGGGGTTCATGAGGATTGAACAAGTTTTTGAGGAGGGTGAATGGAGATGGTCTAGGGGTCTGCATCCGGTTTGTGGGAAGTGCTGCAGGCTCAAGGTCCAGGGTAACACTGCCCTAAGCCCGAAACCCGAAACCCGAAACCCGAAACCCGAAACCCGAAACCCGAAACCCTGCCCCCTAAGCCCCACACCCAAGTGCCCAGCGCCTCAACCCTAACCCCTTAGGCCCGTAAGCGGTCGAAGGTGGCGCAACTCCGCACAGCTGCCCTGGCAATAAGCTGGCCCTGCTGGAGATGCAGATCTTCCTGCAGATGCTCTGCAGGGACTATGACTTCGAGGCTTGGGACTCTGACTTGGGAGTTTGGACTCTAAACCCTAAACCCTAAACCCCAAACCCTAAACCCTAAACCCTAAATCCTAAACCCCAAATCCTAAACCCTAAACCCTAAACCCTCAACCCTAAACCCCAAACCCTAAACCCTAAACCCCAAATCCTAAACCCTATAAACCCTGAACCCCAAACCCTAAACCCAAACCCTAAACCCTCAGAAGGGGACCCCGAATCCCGCGCGCCCAGGTGCTGTCAGAGGACACCTACGTCGACAGGGCCTTCACCCAGGTCAAGTTTAAGGATGGCTTGCCCATGAGGGTGGCGCGCAAGGGGTGAGGGCCCTTCGGACGTCGGGTTTAGGGTTTAGGGTTTAGGGTTTAGGATAAGGGTTTAGGGTTGAGGGCTGGGGATTGTGGGGCTAAGACTTAGTGATGTGGGGATTGCAGGATTAATGCTGAAGGATTTCAGGATTTACTCGGGGATTTTGGTTTTCAAGGGGCCCCTTTAGGGTCACAAGAGCACGTCCTGTCGCCGCTGGGGAGAAAGAGGCGGCTCTGCAAGTGTGGTGAGCCCTAAACAAAGAGCGCTGGCGAACGCTAAGTTCTCAACCCTAAACCCTAAGCCCTAGACCCTAAACCCAGACATGAGCATCGGACAAAACTAAAGCAGATCCAATGCTGTCTTGACGTTGCAGGGTTTAGGGTTTAGGGTTTAGGGTTTAAGGTTTAGGGTTTAGAGTTTAGGGTTGAGATACAGTTCCACGAAACATAAGAAGGGCCCACCCTCGAGCTGGTTTCAGGCCCCAAAGGCTTCTTTGAAAGGGTTCGGGAGAGCTAGAAGGGAGAGCTAGTAGGGTTTAGGGTTTAGGGTTTAGGGTTTAGGGTTTAGGGTTTAGGTGAGGGTTTAGGGTTTAGGGTTTAGGGTTTAGGGTTTAGGATTTAGGGTTTAGGGTGCAGGGTTTAGGGTTTAGGGTTTAGGGTTGGCCAACTGCAAGGGCGTCTTCCGGATACTCTACGCCTCCAGCCTCGGGAAGGCGCTGGGGGGTAGAAAAGGGCTTAGGGTTTGGTGTTTGGGGTTTAGGGTTTAGGGTTAGGGCTTAGGGCTTAGGGTTTAGGGTTTAGGGTTTAGGGTTTTGGGGTTTAGGGTTCAGGGTTTAGGGTTTAGGGTTTAGGGCTTAGGGCTTAGTGTTTGGGGTTTAGGGCTTAGGGTTGAAGCTGCAGTGCAAGTAGGGCAGCTATAGTTGCAAGCTTCTTTGGGTGCACTGGTAACCTTACTTATCTCCAAGAACAACCCTCAACCTGAAGCCGAGTTAGTGAGAAAGTCTCATGAACCCTGCAGGCAGTAGGAAACGCTCAGGTTCAACCGAACATCCCAAAGGTCCCTAAACCCTAGGGCCGACACTTTAAACCTAAACCCCAAACCCAAAACCTTCAAACATCCAAAGGACCCCCCCCCCCCCCCCCCCCCGAAATTTCAGAAATTTCGTCGGGCTCAGGGCTCGGGGTTGGGCTCAGGGCTCGGAGCAGCTCCTCAAAAGCAAGGGAGGACGACCCGCTCTTCGGCTTTCCGCCCCAACCCTAGCCGCCTACACCCCAAGCCCCGAAGCCCTTAAGCCCTTGTGCCTATGCCCTAAACCCTGTAAGTAGGGTTTGGGGTTTAGGAAACTCTCAGCACCCTAAACGCTATGGAGTTTTCAGGGTTTTCAGGGCCCCAGGGCTCCCTTCTTCGCGCAGTCGCCCTGCGACGCCAAGAAGCGTGTCGTCTGCCTGAGGGCAGGGGCGGATGATGAGACGCTCGGCCCCAATTCCTTAACCCCTCAGCCCTCAGCCCTAAACCCTAAACCACTCCACCCAAGACCCTTAGTGGGTCAGGCTTCGAGGGTAGGCTTGCGTTTTCGGCTGTTTAGCCGGAAACCAACTTAGGTTACTACACTTGGCCCCGATTCCTCAACCCCTCAGCCCTCAGCCCTAAGACCCTGAACCCTAAGCCCTAAACCCTAACCGGTTCAGGCTTTAGGGGTTAGGTTTTGTGTTTCAGGCTGTTTTGCAGTCAGTAAGCCCGAAGCCAACTTATGTTGCTAAACCTTAAGCCCATAGGTCCAGTTGGGCATTCGGCTTGAGAATTCTGCCGACAACCCTAAGCCGAAAACCTTCCGGCCTGAAGTTGGCCCGGCTTTAATCGTAGAATTTTAACCTCTTGGGTCGCCCTGGGGGGCCTTCAAAGTATAGGGGGTTCGAGGATTAGGGTTTGGGGTTTAGAGTTCGGGGTGTCGGGTTTGGGGTTTAGGGGTTTGGGGGATTGGTGGATTGGGGTGCATTTTTTTTCAGGGCTTAGAGTTTTCAGGACTTGGCGGCGTAGGGCTTGCTGTTGGTGAGGGTCTTGACGGTTTCACGATCGAGGCTTGGAATACAGTCCCCAAAGCAGCTTGAAGGTTTTCAGTGTGGTTTTAGGGCTTTAGGGGCTTTAAGGGTTGTAGGGTTTAGGGCTTAGGGCTGCAGGGTTTCGGTTCAGGGTTTTAGGGGTTTTAGGGTTTAGGGTTTATGGCTTTGGGCTTTCAGGGTTTAGGGTTCAGGGTTTTCGGGTTAGGGGCTTTTGTGGTTCGAGGTCTAGGATTTACATCAAGTTTCGCGGAACGTTTACAAGGAGGCTAACCCCAATCGTAAACTGGAGTGTAGCACCAGGGACAGGTTGGTAGGAACCCTCCCTCATCTCCACGTCTTAAACCCTGTAGTTTAGGGTTTAGGGTTTAGGGTTCAGGGTTTAGGGTTTAGGGTTTAGGGAAGACCTAAACGCCTCAACCCTAAGGGGGCACCCTTCACCAGACCCAAGCGCTCTTCTGAGGAGGCAGTCCTGGATCACATCCCTCAGCCAGGTGAGATACTTAAACCCTAAACCCTAAACCCTAAACCCTAAACCCTAAACCCTAAACCCCTAACCCTAAACCCTAAACCCTAAACCCTAAACCCTAAACCCTAAACCCTAAACCCTAAACCCTAAACCCTAAACCCTAAACCCTAAACCCTAAACCCTAAACCCTAAACCGTAACCCTAAACCTCCTCAACCCTCAGCCGCCGTAAACTCAAATCGAAGGGCTTAGGTTTCCTTTTCTGTGGAGTTTCGGGTTGAAGGGTTACGGCTTTCGTCGCCCTAAACCCGTCAACCCTAAGCCCCTAAACTTTACACCCTAAGCCCTAAACCCTAAACCCTAACCTAAACCCTAAACCCTAAGCCCTAAACCCTAAACCCTAAACCCTAAACCCTAAACCCCAAACCCTAAACCCTGAACCCTGAACCCTGAACCCTCAACAATAAACCCCTAGACCCCTAGACCGTCTAGTACCTAATCCGCAAAAAACCCTGAGTCCTAAGCTCAGGAGCCGACAGCCCTACAAACCCTACGATGTAGGGGGATTCTGGGGGTCTAGGGGATTTAGGGCCGTCGGGGGGTTTACTTTAGGGGGGGTAGGTTCTTTTTGTTATTTCTATTTTGGGTTTTGAGGGTTTAGGGGGTTTTGGGGGATTTAGGGGCAGGGGGGAAGGCGTTGCGGCTCAACTGCCAGCGTTTTGCCATTCGTGCCCGCGATTTGGCTTCTTGCTGTCTTAGCCCGACCCCAGCACACAATTTCGCCCCGCGATCCGCTGTGCGCTGCATCCTCTGTTGACTGGTGGGTGCTGGTGATCGTCTTCGTGGACATAGCCACTTCTGGTGCCTGGCGTGGGTGCCTACACCTCGCTCTTTTGAGCTTTGGTTGGTGGTTCGCTGCTCGCGCAGTGCATTTGCCATCCTTCGCCATCCTTCGCTTGGTCACGGCTGGTGGCGCTCAGGTTTACCCAGAGCTGACGACTTCCAGGTGCTCCTTGGTTGTGCCTTCTATGTTCCGGCCTCGATGCCGTTACATGTTTCCCATCTTGCTGCTTGTGGCGGAGTGGCTCACCCGGGATCCCGGCGGGCACTATCGGTTACTACGTGCGGTGTCGTTTGACTTGGTGCTTGGGGGCGAGCTGGCGGAGACTGGAACTGTCAGGGTCCTTGTGGACGGCTCGGGCATCGTGGACAGTTCTGTGGGCGACTTCCCTGTTGAAGCTGACGCAATGGACGAAGGCATCCTGCATGTTTCGGGCAGCACACGCGGCACGGTTGAGGGGGACATTTTCGATGGTGCTGCTCAAGTTGATGATGGCAGCACGGATGCTTTGTTCATTGCTGACTACACGGTTGAGGATGACATCCCCGACGAAGCTGCTTTGGTTTTTGATGGCATCGTGGACGGCTCTCGCGTCGCTGACGGCACCGTTGAGGGCGGCATCCCTGACGAGGATGCCGAGGTTGAGGATTGCGCCGTTTACGTCCGGAGCATCGCTGGGGTTGTCGCCACCATTGAGGGCGACATCGTTGCAAAAACTGACACCTTGGATGATGGCACCGCGGACGTTTCGAGCATCGCTCACTGCGTTTTTGCGTACTACATCACTGCCCCGGGCTGGCACAATGGCTGCTGGACTAGTGAACGACTTCAGCTTGCTGATAGCAACTCTGGGCGTAGTGTCACCGCAGAAGCAAGCATGGTTGAGGGGGATATCTCTGCCGTGCCTGCCCTGTGGATGCCTGCATGGTGGACGTCTCGAGCTTCACTTGTGGCTTCGTTGAAGACACCTTCGCTGCCGATGCGAGCAAGTGAAAGATGGCAATGTGGACGATTCGGACATTACTCTTTGCCTTGAGCCATGGCTACCCGCTCGCACCTGGTACAGTGAGGCCCTTGAGCTGGGGTCGGTGCTTCATTGAGCAGGTGTGCGCTTGAGGAGCTTTCGCTTCTTCCGTTAATGCTTGGCCTGGGGCCGCGTGTCTGTGACACGCCCTCTGCCCTGGTCGGTTCTGTGCAGCCAGCCACTCTTCTTCAGGGTTGCTTGCTGCCCTCCAGACAGCTTGACAGCGACCCGGGCGCTTTACAGCCCTTGCCCCCTCGCCGTCTCTGTTTTCTAAGGTTCACACGGCTGTGGGTTACATACCCGCTTTTGGCCAGCACCAGCGACCGCTGAACGCGCAGGAAGGAAGGAAGGGCAGGGGGGAGGGGGGACGGGGTAGGGGGGTAGGGGGGTAGGGGGGGTAGGGGGGGTAGGGGGTTCAGGGGGTTTGGGGAGTTAGATCGGGTTAGAGGGCTTTTAGGTATAGAGGGCTTTAGGGCTAGAGAGAGGGTTTAGAGTTTTGGGCCGGGTTGTGATGCTCCGGCTCTTGTCTTTTTGGGCTGGCATGTGGTTGGCTAGTACCTTGCTGCATCCTGCCGAGTCCAAACAAGCGGAACACCCTAAGCCCCAACCGCTCCTGAACGTCGGA